CGAGCAGGACCCGTCCTACCGGGCCAGCCCTCTGCTGTCATCCACTCCAAAACAGGGGGCTGGAGTGGCGCAGGTGACGGGTGATCTAATTTTGCGATGTATAGAAGAGCACAGGATTGGTAATTCAATAATAAAGTTGCTATGCTAGTAAGACAAAAGTAGGGCTTTTAACAGATAATAATGAGGAGCAATTCGAACAATGTAGGCGAAATGAAAGTTTAAGTTTAGTCTACCAGCTTAGGTATGTAAGGTTCTTGAAGAGAAGAACCTGTAAAATAACGTCATACATGTGCTAAGACGGTCATTATACATATAGTAGACACCACCTATGTAGACACATAGTAGACGTGTTCAATAAATGATAGGGAGAACTCACCTATTTGTACTTTCAGGCCATAGGCGGTTTATCTATCTATATACCTCACATACCATAAAAAGCCAGTTTCAGAGCTATGAAAGACCATTGCAGAGCTATGGGATGAGAGGCTAGGGTGTATACAGTGGACTGTGTGGGTCACCGACAGTGAGCCACAGAGGCGAGACGTCCCGGAGGGACCGGATTGCCCCGTTGGGGACAGTCCGCCCGCCTCCCGAACGGTCACCTCTGAGAGGATTTATGGTCCTGGTGTGGACCCAACTAGAGATGTCAATCGGATACCAACTTTTTGGTATACCGATACCAAACCGATACCAACGTGGTATTTGGTATTTCAATCCTAATGTACTTGGTATTTTGTTGGTATTATGAGCCCTCACTATTGTATAAGAATTGGCTGAGAAATTGGTAAAAAGTCGGTATTTCACTCCTTTTATGAAGTTGGTTCGGTATCGGTATTTCCTTACGGTTTATGTTGGGATTTGGTTTGGTATCGGTATTCAAATGTTCTGTAATTGACATCACTAGACCCAACCTCATCCACTGGTTGTCACTCATGTCAAGCGGGCTGAACGCCAGTCCGGATATAGGGAGACTGAGGGGATGTGGAGTGAGGGGATTTGTCCTAAGGAGGATGGCGAGGAAGTATGGACCTTTGAATGGTACCATTCGCTTTATGTAGATTGTTGATTATTTTCTTTGATAGAATGCTATGCGATTATTTACAATCTGCTTAAATAGTTTTCATTGCTGTGACAAATCAGGCAGAAAAAATATTGAGTGCAATTGATAGTATCACCGAATAGTGCCTTCGTGGTTTCCTGGTCGTTAGTCACGTGCGGGCGTATAAATCCTCAGCAGGACCCCATTCAGAGCCAGTTGATGCTAGCCTGGATCCACGGAGACTCATCAGAGAGGCAGTTGACCCGACCTGAATGGTGATGAGGGTCTGCTCTGCCGGAGGGACTGAGGCGGTCTTCGGTAACGTACGAGCGTCATAACTCCACTCATGAATTGGCTCCCCACCCAGAGGACAATCACTGGCGGGGCCAATTTCAAATGGCCACCGACTATGGTCAAATGGTCCGACTTGCGGTCTATTTCCTTGTGTCGGGTCATTTGCAGTCAGTGTAGTGAATTCAAACTGGTTGAAAGCTTGATGATTGTAGCTGAATTCGGGGATCGTGTCAATTGGTCCATTTAGGATGGTCATGAATCCTGCAGACACTCTAATTAGCTTAGCTCGACAGTAATTCAAAATCTATTGTATATATTATGCAAAAAAATGCCATTATTTCCCTCGTTTAACCCTTTTCCTGGCGGGGGGGGGGGGCCTCAGGAGCCCCCCCTGAGGTTTTTGGGTTATTTCTCCCAAACGCGTTGAGCTAGGAAGCTCAAATTTTCTGAATTTTCCTAAAAGGCTTCTACGCAACATGTCTGAAAATTTTGAGTTGATCTGACCTCAGGTCAGGTCACCAGAGGCGGTTTGGTGACCCTACCTCAGAAAAGTTTGCAATCACGCCAGAGCTAGAGTTTTTGACCGATCAATTTCTTCTCTCCAGGCTTTAGTAAGGGTACCAGTATGTGCAATTTGTATATCTCGGAATTTTGATATCGGTGACCTAAGGTCATGTCAGTTTCGCGACCTCCCCATTATAAGTCAATGGGGGAAAAATCAACTCCCTGTTTTTACCACTAAAACGGGTCGGAATGGCCCCATATACCATACATGACTTCATATACGATCAACCTTCACTACCTTGAGGTCTGTTTTGCTGTTGGGCAGCTGTGAGGTCATGTGACGTCATCAAAGGTCACCAAAGGTTTTTGGCCAATAACTCCGTACAGGAACAAGATACAGACGCGTGGATGGTCTCATTGTGTTCAGCTCGTCAAGACGCATCGAATGATATACATGATGACCTCGAGGTCACGTGACCTGAGGTCAACCTTTGACCTTGACCTTTCGAGGTCAACATATATATCATTCGATGCGGATAGACGAGAGGATCACGATGATGCCCTTAGTTTGTTCCTATCTTGACTAATTCGAAAGTTATTCGAGAAAAACTCTCTCCATATCTAGCGCCGCCATTTTGACTTTTTCGACCCCTGTGACGTCATCTTTGACCTGACCTGAAAATGACCTTAGTAAAAATTGTAGATCTTGACCGTGCGTATCCGATGCCGTTTACCGTTTGTCGCTGCGATGTGTAGTTTTTGAGATCTGAAGGGGGGGCCGAATCGGCCCCCCCCCCCCGCCAGTTTCTTGTCCCGGCGGAGCCCGCCAGGAATAGGGTTAATTGTTATGTCTGTCAACTTCATCTGTTTTGTCCGTCCAGTTGGTGATAATTCAAATGAAAATAGGCCAAATGCTCTCAGTGTTTGACGAAATTAGAGAGGAATCAAAAAACGTGAAAAGCCAGCGCAGCTCCGTCCAGGGCCACAGACCGGTATATTTAATATATACAATGAGGCAGCGGGACTTGGTCAGCGTCAGAGAACAGGCTGTGTTCGAGAGAAAACGTACCGTGCCGTAGAACGACGGCAGCGCGCGGCGGACACGGCCGAGCCTCACCGTCCACGTGGTCATCTTGGGCCCACGGGGTCATCTGGAGCACACATGTGTGCTGACCGGCCCCAACGCGCCGGGCCGGCCGGCTCGGCAGTTCGCGGCGAAACGACGACGACAGCGCGGCTCCGCCGGCGCTGTACGGTACGATTGACGTGCATTGTGTGACGAATAATCAAGAAATAGACATTCATCAAAGAACTCTTTTGGTCCTCCGGTTGATGAAACGTTTTGATTAGAGATGCAGATTCTTAGTGAACTTGACGATTACAAGACCACTTTGGTCCTCCGGACCGGATCAGATTGGATGACAGGATGACCACGCCTCACACGAACAGGCTGACTGAGTCAACTCACCACTCTATGTGCGATGAGCTGTGGGAATGACAGTATCGCAACTAACTTTTTAGAGGTATGGCTCGATAAGTGACCGGCTCTGGCCCCTCCCTTTGAAAATGGCTGGCTCCTCCCCTGGTGTCATGTGTAGGCTACACTGTCCACTGTGCTGTGTGCCAGCGTGCACCCTTATTTTGTTCTGTTTTGCTTTGTTTTGTTTTGTTTTGTTTTGTTTTGTTTTGTGTGTGTGTGTTTTATAGGGTTAGTCCCAAGTTCGGTCTAACTAGACCTTTGCGAGACCTTGCATTGCCGGAAGGATGACAGGAGTTGGGGGGAGAAATTGGTCTGGGCTGGCACTCTGGTGCTCCGCCGAGGCTGAGCCCGTCACGTGAACAGGCCACCCTGCAGTCTGCAGGCCTGTAAACGGTCACCGTCCAGTGCAGGTCATTGGGTCTGCTCTTGGTATAAAGCTACCCAATATTTCTAGATATAGAGGCCTGAGGCAGAGCTACTCACGTCGGATAAAGGTGACCACCCAGCTCCATTCCGAGGGTTCACAGTGCGGAGGAAAATGGACCTCAGTCCTGAGGATGGGAATTCTTGGAACGAGGGCCGGTGCAATGCGTGTAGTGTAACTGCTGCAATTTTGTTTGTTTGTTTGTTTTGTTGGGTTAGGCCCTCTCGGTCTGGCAAGACAATTTCAGAGCCGGAAGGACGATAGGAATTCCGAATTAGGAGGAGACGTTGGCCTGGGCAGACACCCCTAGGGAGTCGCCGGCCACCGGGCCTGAGCCGAGCCCGTCCGAATGGACAGGCCGACCGGCGACCAGCCCCCCAAGCACTCCCTGTGCTTGGGGGGCTGGTCGCCGGGGAGAAAACCCAACTACTGGTGCTCTCCCAGAACGCCCGAGACGCCGTCCGAGGCACCATCAAGGTGTCAGGAAAGACGGTGCAGGCAAAAGACACCCTAGTCCTCCTCGGCATAGAGCTCGACCGCCGCCTCCAGTTCGGTGCCCACTGTCGTCGTCTCCGGAAACGAGTTCGCCCCCGGCTGGCTCACCTGCGCCGCCTCGGCGGACGCAGCTGGGGCCTGGACGAGGATGCCCTGAGGACGGTGGCCAACGGCTACGTCCGCGGGGCGCTCGAGCACGCCGCCGCCGCGTGGCTGCCGGCGGCCGCCCCCTCGCACGTGGAGCTCCTGGAGCGGGAACTGCGGGGGGCGGCCCGCATCATCACCGGGTGCCCACGATCAACACCGACCCACGGTGGAGCCGGTGCTCCCCCTCGGATACCGCCGTGGCGGCAGACATCAGGCGTCACCTTCCGGATGGACGTGGGCCCCCTCCGGGCCGGCGCCGCGGCGGCGGAAAGAGAGCGCGCGGCCGCCCTGCACCTCGCGTCCCTGCCGCAGTGCGCCGTCTGGCTGTGGACGGACGGGTCCGCGGCGGGCGGAGTCTCGAGGGGCGGAGCTGGGGCCGTGCTGGTCTGGCCGGATGAAGAGACCGAGGAGCTGCGGGTCCCGGCCGGACAGCTATGTTCCAGTTACCGCGCAGAGATGGTAGCGCTGGTGACCGGCCTGGAGACCCTAACCCAAAGAGACAGAGACCAGGACCTGCCTATCGTGCAGTCTGCACGGATAGCCTCTCAGCAGTGGCGACCCTGCGCAACGGCCCGGCCGCCCAGACCTCCCCGCTGGGGGTAGCGGCTTGGAGAGCCATGTTCGCCCTCTCGGATAATGGCCGGAAGATCCACGTCCAGTGGGTCCCCTCGCACTGTGGTGTGGAGGGTAATGAGCGAGCCGACAGAGTGGCCCGAGAGGCCGCGGAACTACCACAAGACAGCGTGCCTGCAGACATCAGGACAATCACCCGAGCGGTGGCTAGGGCCGCCCGCGACGACACGGTCCGGGCCTGGCCCCCCGGCTGGTTCCGGTCGCTGATGGGGGGCCTATTCCCCCCACCGGTGGCGGGGCTGGACCGGGAGCGCGCGGTGGACGTCCACCAGCTGCGAGCCGGGCACTGGTCGGGCTTCAGGGCCTACCTGCACAGGATCGGGGCCGTTCCCTCTGTGGGATGTGAGGGCTGCCGCGACGAGGGCTGTGTGGCGGCCCGCTGCCCCCTGTGCAATGAGGAGCCTGACACGCCGGCACACGTGCTGCTGAGATGTCCGGCGTTGATGCGACTGAGACATTCAACCCTGGGTCACATCCATCCCAGGCTGGAGGAGGTCCGGGAGACCTCAGTGGTGGCGGCCCTGGCGGCCGCCGCCAGACGCTTCCAGAGCCGCCTGGCTATGCTCCCGTGAGGAGCAGAGGGAGAAACAACAACAACAACAACAGCACTCCCTTTACCCGGTTACGGGGTGCACTCCCTCGGGAGCAGCGGGCCCGCATGAGATAAATGTGCCTGTCCAGCCCGGAGTGGGGGCTGCGGAGTGCGGCGTGGAGCACGCATGGAGGAGAAGGATTTCCGACGGAACGGAGTGCACCACTCGCGTTGGCAAGTAGCAAGTAGCGCCATCTGCAATGAATTTTCAGCTTGGTTTTAGCTCTCTAGCGACATCTGTCATGATCCTGAGTTGATAAATCCTCGTAGTTTGTTTTGTCAATTTGTTGTTGTTCATTGAATTAAGAAATTGTTATTTTCTACAATTTTGCTATCCCAGCATAGTTTACTGTTGCCAATTTTTTTGTTAAATGTGTTATAATATCAAGGGTATTTTTTATTGTAAGCAATCTACATTTATGGGTTGCTTGGGTTTATATAGCCTTGGTTGCTTGTGACCAAGGCTATATAAACCAGGTAGAACGCTCCCGACGAAAAAGTGGTGACAAGCGATAATTAGTAGCCGCGACCCTCTTTTGTTCAAAACTATATCCGCAAGCAGCATTTACAGGCTAGCGGAAATCGACCAATCGGCGTTCGGCAATACTCAACGCTGATTGGCCCGATGCTCGTGACGAAATTGCGGGGGACTGCAGCTATTCCCCTATGGCGTTTAATAGACTTACGGCTTTTGAAGGGGATTTGTACCAGTTTTTGTTGGGTTTGAGGCCATTTTTGAGCTTGGATATTCTTTCTGTGACTTTTGACTGTGTAATAACGACATTTAATCATAACATTTCTATATACTACCGGTGTCACACATCGACCAAAAAGACCGTAAGTACATGGGATAGACGGACCACTGCTGATGGGGCCACACATGCCGGCGTGTGGTCATCGGAGGCCCACCATGAGGGCTCGACATAGGCCCTTCATGGGTCGGTATAGGCCCGGTGGGTCCAGTGCAAGCCTATCAGGGGCCGGTGCTGACCCAACAGGGCCCAGTGACATATAATGTAAGGCCGTCTAGGGACGTTGAGGGCTCATGGGGGCCATATAGGACCAATAGGGACCACATAAGCCAATCAGGGGCCATTTAGGCCAATAAAGGCACTTCAAGGGACTTGAAAAGCTTGTGACGTACGTTGCACATTTGGGGCCTTGCATTTGGGCTCTTTTCCGCGGTAATTTTGTGAAGGTCCAGGAGGGGGTGTTTATATAGCCTTTTCAATGCATTTATCGTGCATTTTGGTGATTTTCGGGATTGCATGTAACCCGTGTCGTATTTTGATTTCATAGGTACCTTCTTGCTTGAGCTGGCTAAACTATTTTGAAGTGATATGACCGTGAAAATAAACGAGGAATGAAGGAAATGGCAGTTGAATGGTGCTGCTGTGGTTCAGGTTTCTAAATCAAAATAATTTGTTTTGATTTCCACCAAAAATTTCGGTATTTCTACATTGTTTTCTGTTTCATTTATGTGTTTTTTTTTTAGCTAAACACATTATTTTTCAACTTAGTAGTTTTGTTTGCATACTTATGCAGGACAAGGATGAAAGTGATAACATTTGGTGAGACCTAGACTGTGAGGAGAGTGGCATTGCGATCAAGGCCATATGACCATTGCAATGCTTCCTTGGACTCAAGGCCCTAAAACTTGGACTCACCAGTGAGTCAGTGACGCTCTTCTGCTTGTGGTTATTGTGACTGGCTGGTGACAGCTGAGTGTGGTTGCGAGCTCATGAAAATGGTGACAGCATGACAAAATGTTGTGTAACTGTTCTGTTACCACGCAAAGAAATATAGCATGCTGAAAGCAAGAGGACATGATTCTCTCTAGTTTTTTTTAGTGTTAATTTTGTTTTGATTCTTTTGATAATTTGTCAATATCCCAGTCTTCAACCTAGCACATCAGTTGCTATCTTATTTCAATTGTTTCAAATTTATTTACCCATCTAAATAATAACACTTGCCTATTACAAGTATTGCTTATTAACTAGGTAATTTAAACATCCATAAGTTTCTGGGGATACTTCTCATAGAATAACAATTAAAGTTTACATTGCAGGCAGATATGGAGAGCTCTGAACCAGATCGGGACTCCAAAACCTCCAAAAATGAGCAGCTCCAGCCACTGTCAGAAGTTGTAAGCTCATCAACATCCACCAGCATGGATATCTGTCCACGACAGTCTAATGGAAACTGTGTGGTCATGGAATCATCAGATCCCAGCCTACAGCAAATCGATGGAACATCTGGCCAGTCTGCAGCTGAGACACTGAATGAAGTTGGCAATGCATCTACTGGGACAACCAGCCATGCATCTGTCCCGGCTGAGATAGGCAGCCATACTTCTGCTCACGTTGAGGCCACCAGTCTCGCCACTGACCTGGCTGGTACTGCCAGCCACGCGTCTGTCCACCCTGGGTCAACCTCGTCTCTCCAGGCCGGTCAGTTGGAGCCCACCGCCGACCACGACCCCCAGTCGCCCTCTGTCGGTGACCCCAGCTGTCCTCCTGGCGCCGTACTGCTCTCCACCCACCCCAGAGCAGTGGAGGAGGGTGGCGTGTGTGTCTGTCTGACCCCTGACCGGCCGTCTGAGAGTGCCGATCGCACCGCGCCGGCCAGTGCTAGCCTACAGCTGGAGTCTGAGCGACCGGGGCCGTCCGGTCTGCCGCCGACACGACCCACCGCGCGCACTGCCGTGGACGCCGGCGCCGTCACTGGACGCCCGCCGCTGCCACCGGGTCGGGCGGCGACCGGTGAGCGCAGCCCGTGCTGCGCGACCTCCGCCCAGGCGTGCCACGTGCTCTCTCTGCCCGACATGCGGCGCCCCCGAGCGAGCCCAGAGGAGGTGTCCACCGCGGCGGTTGCGCGGGAGCGACCGTGTCCGGCGGCTGCGGCCGCCAGCTCCGACCCCACCGCGGGACAGGTGAGACTGGTCGTCAGGTAACCCGGGACCAGGAGTGCCTTCAGTGAGGTTTGCGTGATACACTTAAGGTTTTATTTGTGGGGTTTGTTCTAGCCTTGCTCTATACGTATGTGTATGTCGCGGAGGTTTTATACCCGTTTGCGATAAGATTTATTTTCAACGTGTCATTCATTTTTTTATGTAGCCGAAATTCTTAAGGCCATAGCAAATATTGATGGCACTTGTCTTATCTCTTCAGCATAGCTTTTAGAATGTTGTCATGGCACGATAGGCCATGCAATAATTATACGCAATAAACTTCAATTCTTTTTTGCAAGTTCCAATTTTAATTATCGATTGTTCCCCCACTGACCACCGTCCCGCCCCGTTTACCTCCAGGCGCCGGTGCCTCGGCCGTCAGTCAGTTCCGGCATCCGAGTGGCGCTCCAGTCGGTGGCGTCTCACACCTCCTTCGCCTCACCGCTGAGCAGCATCGGGCCCTTCTGTCGCATCTGCCACGAAGGTTCGGCTGGGAGCGGTGGACCCGAGTGTGGTGGGTCTGTATGGGGAGGGATTGGCTGGGCTAGTGGCTGGATGAGGGTCACCGACAGTGGTGTCTTGAGGAGAGTCACAGAATACAATCGTGAAATGGTGGTCGCATTTGGTTGGGGTTTGTAAAGTTGGGGTTGTTGAGGTGCTTGGACACGGTGTTGGAGTCGTCTCAGGACTACGGTTATGTAATATGTGTCCATGTCAGGTGTTGTTATATGATGTCATGCTTGACTCCTTAGGAGCTGGCATCAAAGCTCATGTTCCAGCGGGAGTTAAAGGCCCCTGTCATCCTTGGCGGACATTGTGTGGTTTTCTTTTGGTGCTTCCCCTCTATTGTGGTTTATACCTTCTTATGCGGGAGTCTAGAGCTTTCCCATGGAAGTTCAGTCCTTTCTTCCGAATGTTCAGTCCCTCAGCGTTTAGACCCTTTGTAAGCTCTTCTGTGTCCCTCAGGTGAGAGTCGCGAGCAGCTGATCTCTCCGTGCCGCTGCGCCGGCTCGGTGGGGCTCGTTCACGTCTCCTGTATCGAGAAGTGGCTGTCGGCCGCCAACAAAGACTCCTGCGAGATCTGCATGTACAAATACGTCACCGAGCGGCGGCCCAAGCCATTGCTGGAGGTGAGTGCCTCGGAGGACGGTCGGGGTGTCCGCCGCTAGGAGCTCTTCCGGGGGGTTATCAGTCCCATCGCTCAGTGTTCTGTTCAGTCTTGATGGTCTCGAGCTGGTGCTAACGTGTGAACTTTCTATGGATCGCACGCTGGCATGTGGTAAAAGGAGTTCTTTGGAGCATGCTTTTTATGGCACAGTTTCCCAATTGTACCAATGCGCTTGTTCGCTTGATCGTGTAAGCATGCACGTAACCACTCATGCTCATTGTTCATGTGTCCATGCATGTTCGGTAATCAGGAGCCGTTTTCATTGTCCAATTACAATCAATATTGTCCAATTACAATCAATTACTCTAGCTCATGCCTTTTCCAGCACCACACTTTTCCTCATAGAACCTTAACTATTCACCACTGTGTATATGATTCCCCTACCTAACTCGTACACCTACCTACACCGTGCACACTGCACATAGTGTAATTTGCTCCTCCGCCGAGAAGCATGCCCCTGGCCTCTGTCTGTGTGTGGTTGTCGACCCCTCGGCGTGTATCTGTCTGTATATTTGTCGGCACGCGGCGCGTTACTGGACGGCGGCACGCACGTTACAGTGGCTCCTGAACCCTTCTAACCCGGAGGATGCACGGAACCTGGTGGGCGACGTCATCTGCTTCTTTCTGCTGACGGCCCTGGCTGTGATTGCGGCCTACCTCTGTCTAATGGGTGGGTGGTGGGTGGCTGGGCAGTGGGCACCACGTACCGCATTTGGTCGGTCAACACTAAACATTGAATGACATACGCCTGCCTTTTGGGGTGGGGGGAGGGCTCACGTCCTGTCTCGTGGATTTTAACTCCTTCTGTGAGTGGATGAGACTGTTCTTTACTGCTGCTTTGCTTTTGTTTTTTGTTTTTTGTTTTATGGCGGAGTGCCGCCTCTGTAGGCCCACTTAATTGAGTTGGGTCTGTCTGCGCACTAAATACGTTCTTCCTGTGATTACGGGTGGTGTAAAATGGTTAAAGGGAAACGGTGATTGGTATTGGTTGCCACTTTTCTATGAGTAATAATCGTACTACCAATTTAATCTAAAACACTATAGATTAAAACTGCGCTAACTTTTATCACGTGTGACGTCCCCTGCGCGCCGCCGTGTGACGTCACGGGCCGGCTGCTCCGACAGCGGTGTGCGCGTTTGCCGCAGGGGCGTCACACTACCTGTCGTACAAGACCCAGTGGGAGGCGACCGGTCTGGTGGTGCTGGGACTGCTCATCTCGTCCATCTACTGCGTCTGGCTAGTGGTCACATGCAGGTGGGTGGTAGGGGAGTCAGTCAGCTGGAAGGTGTATCAGTGTAGGTTGTAGTGGCCTCGCAACTGTCGGGATAGGGCAGTGTTAGTTGTGGTTGCTGGGAGCATTTCGATTTCATGAATGTTGAGTTGTGAATGCTATTATGACCATTGTTCTGTAGATTTCGGAAACATCGTAGGCGATAGTTAATGGTAGGCATGACATTCCGGTATAATTATTCTGGCAACCATTTATCTGCTGCAATGTATCCTGGGAGGTGCCAGCTACCCGTTCAACTCTGCTGTGGTGTGGTGGGTAGTCTCAATCTATCTCCCCTCTCTCACACACATCTACCGTCCGCTCCCCGCCGCGCCGTACTGAGTGCCTCTCCCCTCACCTCCGCAATGTACCAACCAAACTGTATCCGGTGCCGCTGCCAGGTACCACTGCCGGGTGTGGCAGGACTGGCGGCGCACCCACCAGGACGTCCACCTGCTGGAGATGAAGCGACTCTCCTACTCCACCGTCGACCTCAACAACAACACCAGTGCCCCGGCGCCGCCGCCGGCCGGGCCCGGGTGCCGCGCCTGTCGCGGCGGCTCGTACTCATGCTCGCACTGTTGCGCGGTGTGTCCCGTGCACGGCGTGCAGACGGAGCCTGCCGCTGCCGCTGTCACTGCCGCTACAGCTGCTGTCGCTGCTCCTGCCGGAGGGTCTGATGATGTGTTTGCTGCTGATACGACTACTGCCGGAGCCGACCGCCGCGCCGGCACCGGTGGCGCCATCTGTGGTGCGGTGACGTCGCCTATTGAGCCTCCCGAATCAACCGAAACCGATAAGTGATACACTGGAATATGGTGGAGATGAAATAGCTCAGGGTTAGATCTCAGTCGATTGGTGACGGGTAAGTTATTTGTGCTGTGACTTGCATGTATCTTCTGTATCATGTAAATGTGCATGTTATTTGCTTCGCTTGAGTATTTATTGATATTGCGTTGTTGTTAATTTTCAGAGTTTATTGTATTATTGCGCCAATTATTATATAATATTGCTTCAAGATGTTGCATGATTTGCATGTTGAGAGCATGAAATCACTTGTTTCGTTATTCGAAAAATACATATACCCCATTGTCTGTAGCCCGCATTTTTGTAGATGCAAGTCTAGTTCCTTCACGGTCATAAATGATGAAATAAACGACTATCATATTTCGCTATACGGCATGATGAAAATCGATATGATGATATGGATATTAACAGGTGTACACCAGCTGTATCCATCGCACTAATTACAGAGCGATTGGGGTTGGATGGAGTCGACCTCCCGCTCCCATTATCTTTTTCGCCGAGTAGCTAGCGTGAAAACGACAGATATTGCATAGATCAGTTTCAGTGTTACTGTGCAAATTTCTGTCATACCTTACATTGCCAATTTTATGACCGAATATTCTTTGACCTGTGACCTCCCAAGACCATATCAAGCCAGAACGGCGATTCTACTCAAGCCTGCACTGCAAGCCTCATGACCTGGACCTGTGCAGCTCGTCGATCAGATTCGATATGATGCCGTCCGCTCTTCGACGTGCGGCTCCAAGTCCCGATGCCCGACCGAATTGATTTGTACCACCTTTGCTGACAGCATCTCGAGCAGGTCACGGGATGGATACGCCATGATACGGTTCCCTAATCCGTCCAGGTGCTCTCGCCAGTAGCGGCGGAACACCTTCCATTAAGGGGGGGGGGGGGCAATGCCGACTTTTGGTCCCATTCTTTACATGCAACACCCATAGGGCTAATATTTAAATGCCAAAATCAAAGGGGGCACGGTGCCCCGGTGCCCTCCCCGTTCCGCCGCCTATGGCTCTGGCAGATTTCTGATTCCGACCGCTGAGAGACTGGCCGAGCTTGCCGCTGGGCTTGCCTCTGGCGCTGCGCTTGCCGGCGGGACGGGAGTGGTCATCCGGCTCGGGTCGGCGCGTTTGTGATTCTCGGTGAGTGGTTCGCTGCACGTGCTATCCAATTTGCTGAATGCCGCCCCGTAGATATCCGAGCCTCACAGCGGGTCACCCTAGCCGTCCTGAGGTAACCGCGTACATTTTGGTCCGGCCAAGGCACAAAGCAAGGCACGGGGCGGCGTGGATCCATTGTTGTTGACTGGTTGAAGGCCTATGGGAGCACCGACCGAGTGCGGTTCTCGGTTCTCTGCATTTGCTGGATTTATGCATACACAATATGTCCCTGCTATTGACATTCCGCTTTTTGGAATATAGAGGTCATTTGGTTGTAAATCTTTATTGTTGGTACCTTCTGTTGAGTAGAATACGCATATAAACACATTCACCCATTCGCTTATGATTGTCATATAACATCGCCAAGTGCAATATGTACATACACCAGCCAGTCATGTGACTTACACATAGGGTATGGATAGGGGCTTCTTTGACCCTCGCGGATCATTCCAATGAAGCCAACGACATCGGAAATGTACACAGTCTCTCCGTATACGGACCTCGGCTTTGACCGCTGGAACCCGCGAGAGGGTCACAGTTCACCGCACGTAGACACTAGACAGCATGCAGAGCCTCATGCGCCACTTGACGACTGTTCCCGATCGGCGACACACCCAGGTCCCCGGTTAGTGACCAGTCGACCCAATAGGGGTCACTGCTGACCATTAGCCTCCGCCGAGCGCTCGCCCTAACTGACCTTACTGTTTATCGACTCTCGGTCGTGATCCTCGCGCTCGCCCCAGCTAAGCACATGATCGGAAATGATATGCACGGAAAGCGCCCTCCCCCCCCCCCCGCGGGGCGACGCGGCAAGTCGACCCACTGCACTGTTGCGGTGGGCCTGACTAGATCCCAGAGTCACACGGCGTTCGTTCACCGAAGCACCAAGAATAGTGCTCAACGCAGTTTGTACTGGCTGTCGGAATGACAGCGACAGTCGCGCGCTGACATAATTAACAGAGTAATCAACAACAGGATGCCTGTGACGTCACCCATTCAACACCCCACATCATCACAGCACACGCGTCATCCAACGCACTTAAATTTGCTGCTATCTGCTCTAACGATTCCATTACGCGTCTGAGAGTCCGGTTTGAGCGTCGTTCCACTGTCTCACAGCCCAGCGGAACTTGACATTATACCCACATCATCCAGTATGACGTCAGCGTGACGTCGTCACTTTCAGTCAGCACAGTGGTCAGCTAACAGGCATCCCTGCCGTCTCGTGGTCCCGGGCGCGCCGGCCGCTGCATCTCGGCGCCGCTGTGTAGGCGATCGGCGGGTGACCGGTCATAGGTCGAGGTCATCAGGTGACCGGTCATCGGTCGGTGACGGACAGACTGCTGGTGGTGCTGCTGGCGGTCAGCGGCTCCTCGCCGGGCTTCGGCCGCCGGCTGCGGGCCAGCACGACCAGCACGAGTCCGGCCAGCAGCAGGGCGCCGCCCAGCGCCGCCAGCGTTATGCTGCCGGCCGACATGACGGTCGGCACCGTCTGCACGATGGTGACGAACTGGTCGGCGATGTCGGGCGTCGTGTCGACGGTGTTCTCGAACCACAGCATCGGCAGGTAGACGCTGGAGACGTTGTGCAGCAGACTGACGGAGAGGAGAGAGGGGACGGGCGGCGTCAGAGCGATGAAATACCTACCGTGGAGAGTTCGCTGGAATTGGATCAATATTCGCTTTGGTTGTCTCATTACAAATAAAAAATGATAAATAACAAAAATAAATAAGTAAAACAAAATAGCCTGGAGATAAATAACAAAGACACATTTTGCCTCGCCAGAATTATTGTGAACACCGTCTTAGCTCGAATGATAAAATAATTGAACCGGTAGATCGAGTTAGGTATTGAAGGGCGAATCATCTGGCACGGAGTACGAGCGTGACATTTTTTCTTTTGTATTTTACATGGTTCTATCACCTTAGTCCTTACTCGTAAATTGGGTGTTAACGTCCTTACAAGGACTTGTCCCCGCTGTCAAACGTTCGAGTGCCTCATAAGCCATATAGAACTATTGCCATTCGAGCATCGATACCCGTTGGTTCATACTCTTAATGGGTACGGTGAGTCGATCACTTCTCAGTTCTCATAGACGGCCTGGTAACAGTTATATCCGGCTAACATACATCGTTTTTTGCAATAGCTGGAAAAGCAAACTCAAAAATCACTATCACACCTTCGATAGTCAGTGAAACTTGAACCTGAGTGCGTCTTTCCCAAGGATGATCAAACAGAGGAGCGAGCGCACTACGACAAAAACGGTGATCCTACCGATAAAGGTCATGAATAGCTCTAAAAACAATGTACCTATTTTAGGAAACGTTGAGAGGGAGAGCTTGACAGTACCTATAGCGATATATCATTGGTATTATAGGATTTTACAGCGGCATGACTATCAAAAAATGAGACCGCTAAGGAACGGAAATGATTAAGTGGACCTCCCTTTATCTATTTAAAGAACCCACTTAGTTAATCACTGATAATCAATCGATTTCTGAAATGGTATATCCGTTCCGCAAGTGTGCCTATTAACCCTCGCCCGCACATGGGGGGGGGGGGTGGTTGCCACCCCCCAGGCAGTCTTTCTGCTCTGCACTCAACATTTTTAGAGCTAGAAGGCTGATTTTTCGTATAGCTGCTTGTCCATCCTTTCTTGATGTACACTGAAAATTTCAAGTTTCTGTGATTTTTGGTTTCGGAGATATGACCTTGTTTTTCAGGTCATGTCATGACCCAAATGGCCAATTCTCAACATCTTGCGTTTGCCATGGGCCTTGTGAGCTTTTGACACCCTGATTTCGGCCTTTTTTGCCAGTCTTACCTCCCACCTATCATGGAACATGTTGTTCGGCGATGTACAGGGGTCAAGGTCAGGGTCAAGGTCAACCTAGGTCATCTAAGATAATTGCGTTTTAGGCAAGCTGAATTTACTTTTTGTGAAGTTTTTTGACTGCATTTTTGGTAAAAGCTTCTCAGATCATGATTTCATGTGATATGGACCCAAAAACAATCGGTGCACACATCAGTATACACAGACACACACAGACATACAAACACATATAATTGACCTTGACCTAACTTGACCTGAAATGACCTCAGCAGCAAAATTCTGGTCGGATAGTGTGACAAAGAGGTTCTAGCTGGCTTGGCACCAGAAAACAGCATCGTCATCGGTATTTGATAAGCAGCGCACTTGATATCCAACGGTGACCCAAAACAGCAACATTTTTTAGTTTGACCTGACCTGGAAGGTCAATGACTGACCTGAGAAGGTAAAACTGGGTATCATTGGATTCGTCTCTTCCCAAAGAATCTTTTTGGTCTTTACTGCTAAGCTCTATCTCCAACAGGAACGAAATGGCGCGGGGGGGTGGCAACTAGAGCACTTCATGGGCCGGATAAATCCGTTATCCACGGATAAATCCGTGGACCGGATAGGATTGGATCCCAAATTTGGAAAAATAGAACGGATCTGGGCGGGCCGGATTTGGGAATTGAATGTTGAACACGGATCAGAACGGATAAAATTGTAGCATTCAATATTCATGTTAAGAATTAGGTAACTTAACTTGTTAGGCACTGCAGCAGAAGTATTAATTGATTTACATGAGATTTATAAGCATACCTTTGTGAGCCATGATAGTCTGTAAGGTATATGGCAGCACCAACCAAATTTTTAAATATAGATGGTCACAACATAAAATCTGCAGACTCAGCCATGTTCCTAACCAAGGAAGCAAGAACAACCGCCATGGCATCATATCCACCATAACGGCTCGCTGGTTCCTGAATAAGATACGAATCATGTAAAAAAAATGTGTTAATAACTCACTTGTCCTGAGAACAGTCCCCATATAATATGTATAAAAACGATAATGCGTTCTCGAATTTTTCAATCTTCCAGACAGCATCAAACACTGCGCAAGGTTAGAAACACATGCGCAATAACAGATGCTTTTAACCCGCGCCCTGCTGGGGGGGGGTGTTTGAACACCCCCCCTTGTGGTTTTTCGCGAATATCTCAAAAACGGCGGCGCGGAGCGCCGCCGTTTTTGGTACACCTTATCATACATCAATTCTACACATGTTGTGAAAATTTCAGACCTAGGTCATTCAAGGTCAGGTCACCAGGTCACTTGAGGTGACCTCACCTCATAAAAACTTTCAATGTCTGTCATAGCTACACCGAGTGACCGATCGCTTTGAAACTTTCAGCGATTGCTAAGAGCAATAGCATGTACAAAATGTATATCTCAGAATTTTGATATCGATGACCTAAGGTCAGGTCAATTTTGCGACCTCCCCATTATAAGTCAATGGGAGAAAATTGAAATGCGCCTCTTTTGGATGAAAGACATTATAAACACTCCCAAACACCGAATTACAAGTGGTTTAGACACACTGAACTTGAAAATGGTGTCCGTGACCCTTGTTTATGCCCTGAGGTCATCTTAGGTCACGAATGGTATCTAACAGTTTTTCGCAAATAACTTTTGATAGAGGCATGCTAGAGCGATGAAAACGCCTTAGATGTGTTCAGCTCGACGATACGGATCGACTGATATGCAACATGACCCTTTCCGGTCAGGTCATGACCTTGACCTGAGGTCAAATTTTCAAGTTGACCTTTCAAGGTCAAGTCATAGTTCATTCGATGCGTCTTGACGAGAGGAACACGATGCCGGTAAAAGTAAGCTCGTACAAGGCTTGGGTCAAAAGTTATTGCAGAAAAACTGTTTTCGAAAAAATCGGTTATTTTTGCAGTTTTTGCCCCCTGCAGGCAAAACCGTTGACGTTAGGTCAAATCTGAGAGAATTACTCAGAAAGGGCGTTAATAGGGCTATCGAATGCCCTTTTCCGCGGCGCTGTAGCTCTATTGGTTCCCGAGTTACGCGTTGGCTTCTTGGAAATTTTCGACATTCGACCTGGAAATCGGCGAAATTTTGCCTTCAATGACCTCTGGTGACCTGACCTTTGACCTGACCAAAAAATTGACCGAAGTGATTTCGTCATTATTTTTTACGCTCTTTCGAACGCCGCCTTCCGCGTATCGCTACGTGGCCCAGGAGCCGAGTTACAAGGGGGGTGTTCAAACACCCCCCCCCCCCCAGCAGGGCGTGGAAATCCAGGACCCCCAGCAGGGCGCGGGTTAACCAGCTGAATAAAACGCTGCAAAAAAAGTTTTAAATTTGGCGCAATGCCTCGTGGATGATTTTTTTTAGAAATAAAAACGATCCAAGACGATATTAAATTCTGATGTTATCAACATTTTCAGTGTAAATGACGCCAAAAAATATTTTCTGATCAGAAATTCAAAGGGTAAACGAATCAATATTACGTCATCAGCTCGCCTATTTCATAAAGAGAGAGCGGATCTTAAAAAAATCAATCCTTGCTTGCTTTTTTGCGCCACTATCGTCAATTTTGTCTGTGTATTGTGTTGTGTCGTCTTGTTGATACGACAAAATGCCGGTTTAACTTATCTTCCTTTCATTTTTGGACCAAAGCCAGGCTCAAGGCTATTTAATACCTACCTTTTCAGCTGGGTTTTCAGTGTCAAATTCTTTGTAGAGTGTGTCAGACCACATTCCAAGGCTAGTTTCCAAACAATGTGTTTTGACTTTTTGAGGTGTTTTGATTCTGCCTTTTCCCATATAGAATGTTGCCAATGTCATGAAACTTTATTTATTCATTGTATTATACTTATTATTACCTACCATTTGACTTACTAATTGATTGTGGTTTTGCTATATGAATAAGTACTCTTCCTTTTATAGACCACAGTAGATTCTTAACAATTCTAATGATAGCCAACCTTGTGAAATGCTGAGGTCCATGTCAATGTGTTACCCCTATCCACCCCTATCCTTAGCAATGCAGCTTTTACCACAAAATGTATTTTGCAGTGGCTAAGATTGCTGTTATTACAATTTGATAGCTTCCTAGTGTCCAACGTTTGGATCTTATGGCGATATGCTGATAGTCTCACAACCGGTTTGTAATGAAACGGATTATTATGGATATTTTTTGGATGTATGGCTGAGATACGGGCCATGGGCGGGCCGGATTTTGAAATTCAAAGAAACACGGATAATGGGCGGATCTGGATATGACTTGCCGGATATGGGCCGGGCCGGATCCTGAAAAGCCTATCCGTGAAGTGCTCTAGTGGCAACCACCCCCCCCCCCCCCATGTGCGTTCTAGGATGGGAAAATGGCATGTGCGGGCGAGGGTTAAAAAGAGTGAACGTTCACGGCGATGAAGCAAAATGTTTGATCCAATACAGCATATGACGGGATCATCCACCGTGCATTATTGCATCATGCGATGTTATGCAATGAATCTCGATATTCGTCATCTTGGAATCCTTGCATCGAATTGTAAATTGTTCTTTGATTGATTAGAACTAGCACTTAATTGGATGAAGGATGACAATCAATACCTAATTGCTTTGCTTTTTTTACAGAGCCCTGTCTTGAGCTGAAATCCACCCTTTTATTGTCTGTGTTTATGGATCACAATCTTCCTTGAAAGGGCATTACGCATTAATTTAGTTTATTTTAACTCTCATGTTATCTCTAACTGTTCAGCATTTTGGTATGTACCCCGACCCATCTAACAGAGCAGCCCATGCTTACTCAACATCCGAGTTGTTCTTCAGCAGCATGTTGATCTGGAAGCGGGCTCGGACGGCCAGAGGTACCCCGGTCAGCTGTGAACATGCGGCAGTGGACGTCAGATGGGGGGCGGAACTCACCGCAGTTGCGGTGACAGAATAGCGGCGGCGCAGAGCGGATAGAAAACTATGGGACATTGCATGAACAATATAGAAGTCGCATGATTGTCTGCGGCAAAGGAAGCTCGTGAGATATGGCTCGATGACTGCTGACCGGTACCTACAGGAACGACATATACCTACCTACATATGTGGACGAGCCATTACTACTCACTTACTGAGCGTGTGATTATATCCAACTTCAGCGAAGCTGAACACTTCACTTTGATATCCAATGTTCGGAAAGTGTCTACCTACCGGCTCCAGATCGATGTTGAAGTTGTGCAGCGTCTCGTTTGGCTCCTGGCCGACCGTCTGGTCCAGTACCGCCGGATCGGCGTACAACATGTGCGGGAACGACACGAACGCCGGCACTCCGAACCGGCACAGAGTCTCGTTCAGCAGACCTGCCGGGAAATCCGTGGTTCAGTTCGGTACAGGCCACAGGTGACAGTAACGACCTCCCACATGGTTGACAACAGGTCACAGATGAATAGGCCAGGTCACACCCGAGGCGGACTCACGCACGCGATGTGAGGGTGAGATCGGCTTGTTAAAAATAGAAATACCTAAATCGTCTTCAAACGAAAACGTATTTGATTATGTAAAGCTTAATCAGTGAAAATCACTCTCTAAAGTGAAAGAGCTGTTATACAATCAGTTTAGGGCGGGGCAATAAAAAGCAGCCGAGTCACGGCGGGTTCAAGTACCTACTTGGTTACAAAGCGCAATGGCCAGTCATTGACGTATCATGTGCGATAGTTCGGATTGTCTATCTCTACAAAGTGGCACCGCGGCCCAGAACACGTCGACACGTCAGTGACTAGTGAGGGTGTAGTCAAGCACCCCAGGCTCGCCCGGTGTGTTCGCGATAAGGATTGAATCAAGTACCGCAGCCGTAGTCGAGAAGGGGCAAAACATATGTCCCGCAGTGATCCGCCGGTCGGTGACATCTGAGCGTCACAACAGCCGGCGAGAGATGCGCACCGCAAAGTGAGGGCAAACCAAAACGGAGTTCTTTGTAGGTGTGGTAAATTAACCCGGCAGTTGCTGGGGTATTTCGCCACCCACCGTTTGCTGGGGGGGGGGGGGGCGTTAAACGCCCCCAGCCGATAACTCGAGAACCAATAGGCGCAGCGAAACGGACGAGGCGGCAAACGAAAGAACGCGACGAGACGCTTCAGATGAGTACTTTAAAGTTGAATTTTGAGGTCACAGGTCAGGTCAAGGTCAGGTCAAACACCTGAAATCGGGCTTTCAGTAGCATGGACTTCAGGACTTCGCAATGGGCGCCTCTCGTCATAAACTCTGTCAAAACGGTGCACAATCCATCATATAAGGCCTACAAAAGTGTCAGCTCTATGTAGGGGTCAGTCAAGCATAGGTCAGGGTCAAGGTCAGGTCAACCGGGCAGGCACATATCCCCGAAAATCAAAACCAATATTCGCAGCCTGTGACACATGTTTTATGGGTAATTTGGGGCGTAGAACACGATGGTGACATTCATTTTACCATATGTGTACGTGTTTGGCTAAAAAAGTTCAATTTAAGAAATGCATGCATCATGGTCGTGAAGTAGTCACGAGAAATTGCCAAGATTCACTTCAAGATTTTGGAAAATGCGGAACGATAATCAACAATCGAAGATAGCCATTTGATTGTACATGGTATTGGCAGTCCAATGGCGTTTACGGCATGTCTGTATGTCTATTCTGTGATTTTATATGATTTTTTGAACATATGCCGTTTTTGGTCGAAAACTCAGAAATCATGACGTCACTAAAACCTCGATATCTCAAAAATTTTCGGACCGATTTTTTTGAAACTTTGTCACAATACACTTCAATCAATTCCCTACAGGTACCCAAAATTTGGCGCGCCTGCGGCGCGCCGTTTTTATGCTATGGCCCGGCGAAAAAAGTGGGGGCGTTTAACGCCCCCCCCAGCAACTCGCGGGTTAAAGGATTCTTGCAATGCTAAGTTCGTCGGAAGTGACGCTTACATGTATATGCACCTCAACATTTTTCGTCTGTGTTCGCTTCTCACGTGAGAAATCCCCAACCGCCCGTCCACGTTTCCAGCTCACCTGCGGGCGGACACTCGCCGTTGCAGTAACACCAGTTGTCGGGGTTCGTCTCTGGCGCTGCGAACATCATCTCATCGGCCTGAAATCTGTACCCGTCCAGTCCGTACATGGACATCTCCTCCTTGTAGGGAACTCGCAGAGAGCTGCCGATCGTAGGGCAGAGGTCAGTGTCAGTGCCAAATGGCGACCAAGATTACGAGTCGAGATAAAAAGGCTTGAAGGTCGACAATCGACAGCGAAAGAAAACACACATACCTACCTAAATAACCCGCTTATCAGACAACACTTAGCCCCACTTCAAATCTTCACTATTATTTCAATAATTATTTTATTCCAATAATAGTTTACGATAGCTATAAATGGGCTTCACGTACCGGCAGATGTCCGTGGAGTAGAATTCGACGTAGTCTCGCTGTCGGCGCGGGTGGAAGAGCTCGCCGGCCGAGCCGTTGATCATGTTGCAGGGCGCCTCGAACGCGTTCGTCTTCTCTGTGTTGTTCCAGTAGTGGAGACGGCCCAGCTGGGTGACCTCGGCGCCCGTGTCCATGTTAAACACGCCGTCGTAGTAGTTGGAGCCGTTCCTCTGCGAGGGAGATAGAAGAGGTGTTTCAGAGCTACGGCAACATCAAGAGGTTGATTTTGTGACTGTGTGCACTTTGACCCAATAGGCACTAATGCTGTTACATAATATGTTATTCAGCGTTCTTGGCGTTGGTGCAACTTGGTTCAAGGTCTGCATGACGAAGGTGCGTGATAGTAGCGAGTCCATGCTCCGGCCTCTGTGCAGTTGTTAGATGTCATCCTCGCAGCGCAAGGTCGTGGTAAGTACCGCTTCAACGCACTTCTCGACTCACATCTCTATTGTACCGTTATCTTTTGTCTCAGGGGCATTCACTTCAGGATGACCTTTACAACGTGTCACGCAACATAGGTACTTTATGTGCGTAAGTGGCTCCTACCAGCTTAAAACGTACTAATGAATGTAGCAACGTTATGTAAACCAAAGGAATGTTAGCAAAACTAGCCAGTAAAATATGAGGGCGCAACCAGCTTAATTAGGTAAACAATTAGATCAGAAGATTTAACTGGTTTACGCCTCATATAAAGTTATAGGACATGCTTCAGTTTTTTATTTCGTTTTTCGTTTTTTTTTTCATCGCCAATTCATTTTGGCCCATCCGGTTCGAAGCTGCAAGTCATCACGGTTTATGCGGGTCTGAACACCCATGGTAGGTATAGTGTCGACATCAGCTGTGAACTAAGCTACGGCATAGCTCTTTGTATGCCCTTATAGCGTATACAGACGATCCATGGCTTCGGCCATCACAAACGGCACGGTGCTAGCTTCCAAAGCTGGTTCAATTCGCAGGGCCCTACGGCGTGCGAATGAATCAATAGCCTCGCCCGTCCTGTCAGCGCCGTCCTTTCTGGCCGTCTTCCTCTGTCTGTCCGTCTGCTTCGCAGTCTTCGCAGTCCGTCTGCCTGTCCACATCGCAGCCTCCCAGTTTGACCACCGCCCCTCTTACAATCATCATCGGCTCAACCGTCTCCCACAAACCTACTCTTCTCCCCGCGTAACATATTTTGCCCATCCCTGTCCAGTCCCCCTTCGCTTAGCCCTGTTCTGCCTGGCCGTCTTCCGTCATTTTTGTCCTATCCCGTGTTCCCAATCCTGTGCCGTTTCTCCTGGACCCCATGTCTGTTTTCTCTCTCGCGCCGGTCCGCCTCGCGAGCCAGTCTGTGGTGGTATAATAGTCATAAATTTCATCCTCCCCAGCACTCGCCTCACGAAAGCCTTGCCTGACCGCGAACAAGGGCAGGCTGCTGCCGGTGCGACGCATTTCAGAAGGCGCAGACGCCCTTCGACGGCTCACACAGATGATATTCAGGATGAGGCAAGTGCGCTCTTCCGGACATTTTTTTTCTCCGGGTTACAATTGTAAACAACAAGCAGAACGACGGGCCGACGAGCGGTACTAAAGCAGTGCTGACATAATGCCGCAATGCCGCATGATGTAACGTTTGTGAGAGACAAACCAGACAGACCCGCGGCCTTTTACAAGTCAATTTAAACACAATGTGCAGTGCCCGTTCCCGCAGGCGGAGCCAGCTCTCTCAAGCTCATCTCACTGCTTTGAGCCATTTCAGACAGTCTCAATTGTATCTTGTCAGAGGCTAATAGATACCGAACGAATCCGCGTTTTGATGTCAGTTCTTGAAAATGAGAGGCATTAAGCCATTTGAACATGAGCATGTGTACCCACGAGTTACATAACTTATTGCTGGGTACTCACTAGTCACTAGGGAACATCCATTTTCTAGAAGTTATGGGCGCTATACCTACTCAATGCTGCGCGGCTAAATCCCAATCATGGTCATTGCCAGCATCGATTGAGTCAAAAATGCCCTGAAGGCTGTAATGAGTGTAATGCCTCGGAAATAAGCAAAGTATTTTCCCATAAAGAAATGCGACTATAACAGGCTTCGGGCAATAAACTGCGATAACATGCTCAATGTTCAACACAGAGATAGATGAGACAGCAATTAGCGCGTCAATCACAGCTTGTTTGCCATGTCGAGTCCAGTATTCGTATGACGCAGGGGAGTACGTCGCAGTCATACTCCCCTAATCTCGGGTACAGATGGGGAGAGAGTCAAGGTCGCTTGGTCGTCGCAAGAAAACCCCAAACTGATGCACAGCTAGGCAACCCAGAATTGACCGACCTTCAGTGAACGGCGAAGAAGACCCGAGAAAGCGGGGTTGACCCTGGTTGGCTTTTGTTTTGCACACGATTCCAATCTTCTGTGCAGATTGCCGGCGATACAAGCGATGGATGATGGTCCTTGTGCACTGAAAAAGCACTGACCGGGGGGATGCGTCCCAGAAGAGACGGCCGACGCGAGGAACAAATGGGGGCGGGGGGGGGACTGGCCGCAAATCGGCCGAAGTACGGAAATCACTCAGTGCGGACTGAGTACGCATGTATAGCTTGACGGCCGATAGAGGGGGCCGGGCAGGATCTTCTCTTCTGTCATCCTGCCCCATTCCCGTGACCGATAGTTGCCGTCACATGATTGAAACAGGGCAAAGTGTCGCAGCGGGTGCTCTTTTACTAACGTCGTTTCGTGCATTTTGATTTTTGAGATGCTAAGCCGTTTGCTTGAAATTTATCAGAGTTCCGAGCCTATATATCTCCCACTGAATTCATGAGGCAGAAGTCCCGAAGCGATGCGTGGGTACTTCCATTACAAACTGTATGTTCTGCGTCAGAAATTGTCGATTTGCAGATAACGGTTCGTGCATGAGGATGGCCTAATGTCTGCAGCCCTTGCCATGGAATGCAGCCCACTGAATAACTCTCAGCTAGGTTACTGGCCAGCAGGCCAACAGTCAATAATGCAAGTCACTAGAAGAGACCGCATTGATCGTGATTCAGCACATTCTCAGTTCAAAAGACGTTCTCCGTACACATTGCAAGCTCTAATTCGCACGAGCGGTCCTACGGTCTTGGTCCATAGACTGAATCCAAGTCCATGCGGGCAACGTCATCGTATTGCCATATCAAAAGAGTATCAGACGGAGCCTATCACTAGGCAGACCGATCCTTTGTGGTTATCCGCCGCTATAGAAGCATGGCACATCCCTAATCTATTCAGTGGCCAGCCCCAGAGTCACCGCGACAAACATGAATAGCAAGATCATTATATAAAGGCGGACAATATAAGAAAGTCAGGTGAGGTACGCAGTACCAATTCACGTGAGCCAGCACAACTCACGTGTGCTGGACGTGTGATAGGCGTCTGCGTATCTTCTTTCGCACAAATCTGTGGCTTCCAATCAGTTCGTGACCGGTGAGACGATAAACATCTGGCGCAAAACACAATCGGAGCGCTCACCTTCGCACGGCGTCACTCACGCAGGGTGGCACGCGCGCCGACCGTGTCCCCCAGTCACGTTTTCACGGAGGCGTCATCACAGCCAGTCACGTGACGGCCCCGGGAAAGGAGGAGGCTTTGATTCTACGAGTCTGACAGGTCATATGTAGGGTGGGGCTTCACCGAGAGTGACAGAAAAGTGCGGCTGCAGTCCCAATGAAAAGGCTGACACAGGAGGCCTAACAAGGACGCTTATAGCACACGTGACTCTCACACACTCAATCCTGGTCGCCATTGTTCAGTGTGCCCTCAAGTGCATCGTTTTGTATTTGTCTCTTAATAGCTTTTGTTCTGAGGATTCGTGGAAGACTCGTGCTGCATTGAAACGTGGCATGCACTCCCTGTCTATTAACCCTCGCCCGTAAACGGCGATCTGCCACCTTCGCCCATGCAGGGGGGGGGGGGTTGGTGCGACCCCCCCCCTTGGCGTTTGAAAACGGAGCGTCGTAGAGCTTAGCGGAAAAGACCAACGGATTGCTCTCGCCGATATCTCGCGATTGGTGGTATATTTTTTGGTCCTAGGTCAATATTTGACCTACTTTTGACCGGTCAAAGGTCAAATTTTCGGAAAAATAGACTTTTTTCAACTTTCGGCGGCGATTGCGGCAAAACGGTGGGAGATATCGACTTGAAACCTTCACTATCGTGTTCCTTGATCAATTCTCTATCGTTTGGTATGTATTTCGTTTCCCTAGCTCTAAAAATGGCGCGTTGGGAGCGCCGGAAGTCGGCAAGGTCACAGTCGGCGGCAGAAATTTGAAAAATCAAAATTTAAATTTTTGAAATCTGATTGTATTTTTGGATTTGGGAGGTCCATTTGCTCCCTATAGAAGCTAATATTGCTGCATATTCCCATTGAGGTGACAAGAATTAGCAAAATAGTGGTTCGGGCGCTTTTCAAAAATAGTACCGGACGCTGTTCCTATTGTGACGTCATAGCTCCGTGACCTGACCTGACCCGGTCAAGTTTCTTATACCATATGATAGCCAATACTTGCCCCAACATGCATGGGAAGTTTCATCACGATCCATCAACCGATGTCCGTACCACCGGCAGGAAACCTCGGGCGTTGGCACTCAGTTTGTGAAAATCCGGCCGGAGGCTGTTCCCTTTGTGACGTCATAACTCCGTGACCTGACATGACCCGGTCAAATTTTTTCATCAAAAGATGCGCAAGGTTTGCCCCATAAGGTACCCAAAATTTGGCGGCGCTGCGCGCCGCCGTTTTTGCACTATTTCCGAAAAGCCTCAGGGGGGGTTGCACCAACCCCCCCCCCCCTACATGGGCGAGGGTTAACAACGTGAATGGCTCCCTCGTGCTACCGGCCAATATCGATTTCAGCATGCAGTTAGGTAAATTGAATTGTAGGAGTCAGTACTGAATATAGCGTTACGTCGCGTTTAGAAGCTCCTTGGTGTTCCGGACGTAGTGCAATGAACGTATGCTGAGTGCTGACGCTTTAATGTAACGGGATAAAGTGAGTTTTGAGCGTCCATCTCCAAACATAAGTAAAATATAAATAAATAAATAAATAAATGAGTAAATGAATGGTATGTAAATCACTAGTATAAGCCACCGGAGACTTTGCGTCTCCCGAGCCAAAATGCTTACAGCTATCCCGAGCCCCGGTTACTCACGCTATAGAACCATCCGAACTTGTCGAACGGAATTGTGATGTTCACCAGGTACTTGATGACGGCGGCAGCGTCCAGCAGCGGGTCGTCGTAGCCGTCAAACAGCAGCTGAGTGGCCGTCTTCGTAATGAACAGCTGCGTGTCGACGTTGTTGACCATCTCGTTGAACATGACCTTCATGAAGTAATCCATGTCCTTGATCATCGCTGCCGCCGCCTGCCAGCCAACGAGTCCGAGGTAAGGTCAAACGGTTCGAAAGATACGACACACCGCCACAGATTGTAGCATGTGATGAGTAGTACTTGCTAGAAATCAGGTGAAAATGCGCACGCACGGTCGGTGTATGTGCAAAGCATTTCCCTCTGCACACGCCTGAGAATGCGTAAATAAATGTTCATCCATGCATATTGACGGTGAACTAATTTTGTTGGCTGAAAGGACAATGTTACCTCTCGCAAAGTGTCTAAGTCAGTCACGATAGCAAACGAACGATCGGATCAAGCATCTTATAAGAGGCAATGTCTGCCCTATCGTGTCCTATCACATCAACAAAGCATCAGCCTGCATCAATGTGCACGGAGCTTCAGACGCACAGAAGACATCACAACGTGACTCAAATCGGGAGCCATTGCCGTAGGCGAATCACGTGTTCACAACGGAAGTCCGACCACCCCATATTGCTTCCTTTCGCTCCTATTCCAGAGGTGTGCGACCGTCAGACCACAAGCCAAGGTCACCAATATTGAGAGGTGGCGAACCGGAGAGGTCGTCACGTACGGGGTCGTCCCTCCCATCCACGCACTTATGAGGCCGCTCCTCCACCGTCCGGCTGACAACAGGGCAAGAGGTGAACGGCAGAGAGAGAGAGAGAGAGAGAGAGAGAGAGAGAGAGAGAGAGAGAGAGAGAGAGAGAGAGAGAGAGAGAGAGAGAGAGAGAGAGAGAGAGAGAGAGACAGAGACAGAGACAGAGACAGAGAGAGACAGAGACAGAGAGAGAGAGAGAGAGAGAGAGAGAGAGAGAGAGAGAGAGAGAGAGAGAGAGAGAGAGAGAGAGAGAGAGAGAGAGACAGAGACAGAGAGAGAGAGAAAAGTTAGACGGAAAGAGGGATGGAAAAGAGAAAGAGGATAGACAGATATTGAAGCAGTTTGGATAACATGTATGTAAATGTTCCCTGGCATCCTGCTTCACATTATGTCTCATGCTTGACCCTGCTACAGACGAGACTTGAATGGGGAGACCCCAATCACAAGTTTATCATTCGTTGCTCAATATCATCGATACTGCATGGAAAACAATATTAGGAAAAGCTTAGTCGGATCCGTAAAAAATAGCCTCTGCATACCCTCTTCCCTGTATGACCTCACCTTGACCTACAGCCTACACTGTAAACCAAATTGACAAGTCTTGTGTAATATAACCAATCATCTCTTGGTATGTTTACCAACTGACACTTTTTAAACAAGCCGTTGTCTGGTGCATTGCTTGTCAGGTGACAACTACGAGTCAATAGTTACTATGCACACCAACTTCTCAGTATCCAGACCAACTCTACATTTGTTTCAACGTTTGTTTCTTAACCAGTTTTGGAAACTTGTTGCCGCATGGTTATTTAACCGGCGCCTAACTTGTACTAGTCAACTGGTCAGCATACACATGGTCAGCTGCGCCTATGACGTCAGACTTGGCGGACCAATCAGCGGTCGCCGCCAGCCGTTAGCGGGACCCGGCGCGGCGGTTTCGAACCAGCAGTTGTCGCGCGGCCGCCGTGCAGCCTGGAGCAGCGACGAGGGCTGTTCCAGCATTTGTGCAGTAAAAAGTGAAATCTGTGAACTGTGGTGTTCGTGCTGTGAGTGAGGCCCCCTCTGGCCTGCGGGACGCACTAATCGTGCCTATACCCGCGTTCGAGACGCCTCCCTTCCCCTGCGCGCGCAATGTAAGTGGGCCAGACCTGTGCATGCACATGTGAGCAGATGTTTTGCGGTCGGTGTTTTTTAAATACGAGTATAAATACATTTATTTGCCTTTAACCCGCGCGGGGCTGGGGTCTCCAGCCGAACGCGCGGGGCTGGGGGGGGGGGTAAATTTTACCCCCCCTGTTATCTCCCGAACTAATGGTCCGATTTGAAAAATTCAAACGCCAATCGAAAGCTCTCATCACGAACTACTAAAAACATGTACTTAATTTAAAGTTTGAGGTCAAGGTCAAGGTCAGGTCAAGGGTACAAATTGCAAGTTTCTACAGTATCGGCCTTGCACCGTAGTTGCCGAAGAATGGAGTCATGGACTGAGACTGATCGCCCAAAACGTGTTCTTAGGCTACCAAGACAATATTCGTTGCATACAATATCATTCAGAGGTCAAGGTCAAGGTCAGGTCAGGTCAGGTCAGGTCACCAAAAAACAAAATATAGAAAAGGGCATGTGCGACACATGTTTTATGGGTCATTTTACTCATAGAATTCAATAGGCACACTCAATAAGTGATATGGACCACCTCTGGATGAATTTCAGGTCGAGGTCAGGTCAAGGTCAGGTCAAGTGAGGTCAAATTTTGAAGTTGGTTGTTAAGGCCTAAAAAGGTGTCTATCTGATGCAGTTTTTCACGGCGAATCGAATGGTGCCATTTTTGTTTCCGTACGAGGTCTAAAACTTCCAAAAAAGTCATTTTTCAAAAAATTTGTGTGTCGTGACGTCATAAAATTTTGAATAACTCCCACATTTTTGAACCGATTCTTCTAAAATTTGGTATGTAGGTGCACATAGACCACTTCTCTGACATATATTCCGGTTTTTTTCGATAGACTCAAAATTTTGGATTTTATAATGATTTTCCCAAAAAATCAGCTTTTTGAAAAAATTTAGGCCAAAATCCAAAATTTTCAAAAAACCGAGATAGCCATTTGATAGACAAAGGAAAATTACGTATAACCTTTTTTGTTACGTCTTGATTCCTTTAAAAATGAAGATGTTAGCGGCGTTTGAACTTTTGCCGTTTTTGAGGCGAAAATGGCGAACATGACGTCACTAAAACGTCAATTTCTCAAAAATTATCCGACGGATTTCGCTCAAATTTTCTGGGAACGTGTCAAATTGATGTAAAAAAAGGTACTGAAAGTTTGGCGGCGCTGCGCGCCGCCGTTTTTGAGATATCGCAAAAATTCGCGAGGGGGGGTAAAATTTACCCCCCCCAGCCCCGCGCGGGTTAATTCAACTCTTTGTGTTTTTAACTTAACTGATGGACATATATGAACTGTAAAAGCTAATCTGGTTGGCGATCATGATTTATTCGAATTATCTGCGTGATCGTGCAACTGCCATGATTGTTATGGTCAATGTTCAGGAAATATTCGTCATACGGGCATGTTATACTTCTGGCTTGATGCGGTGCACAAAACCATGTTCTTCCACATACGCAGCAGTTCTTGCTTCAAAGACTTATATGCTGACGGTGCACGATAGGTATACCCACTGGGTATACCTACCTCATGCATTTACCACATCCATTCGAAAATATGCACTCGGAATTGTCTCCAGTCAATAGTATTAATTACGTGACCGTAATAAATAGTAATGATCCCAGAAACTTCCGAATGGATGTGGTGTATGCATTCATCGATTATATAACCCATCAGTATTTCGTTTCTTGTCAGCGCAAGCCTTTGAGCAATAACTGATGCCAGTCATGGTATTGTGCACCACTTCCAGGCAAAAAAAATAACCTGTCCGTATAGAAAACATTTCCTGAATCAGTATCGTCGCAATTGAAAACGAACGCGAATCGTAAGTTCTTAAGGTTATCAACGCAAACAAAGCGATTGTTGACAAGCTCGAACAGAGCGTTAGTACACTTACTTGTTGACAATTTGTAAGCTAGCAATGCCCAGTCAAAGGCTAGTTCATCAACAAACCAGGGGTTGGTGAACCGACAAGGAAACGAATATGCCTATCCAGAAGTTGGTAGGTCCACAAGGCCCAGACTAGTACTCAACAAGGTGACGCCTATGCGAATTGGAACCAAACTTGTAGACAAACTGTTAGTTTGTTAGCCAACAAGCCTGGGGTTGGTGAATCGACAAGGTGACGCCTATGCGAATTGGAACCAAACTTGTAGACAAACTGTTAGTTTGTTGGCCAACAAGCCTGGGGTTGGTGAATCGACAAGGTATCGACAAGGTGACGCCTATGCGAATTGGAACCAAACTTGTAACAAGGAGCCAACTTGTAGATTTGGTTTACAGTGTATTTCCTGAATCAGTAGCGTGGCAATTGAAAACGAACGCGAATCGTAAGTTCTTAAGGTTATCAACGCAAACAAAGCGATTGTAAGGAAGAACAAGTTCGAACTGAGCGTTAGTACACTTACTTGTTGACAATTTGTAAACTAGCAATGCCCAGTCAAAGGCTAGTTCATCAACAAACCAGGGGTTGTTGAACCGACAAGGAAACGGCTATGCCTATCCAGAAGTTGGTAGGTTCACAAGGCCCAGACTAGTACTCAACAAGGTGACGCCTATGCGAATTGGAACCAAACTTGTAGACAAACTGTTAGTTTGTTGGCCAACACGCCTGGGGTTGGTGAATCGACAAGGTGACGCCTATGCGAATTGGAACCAAACTTGTAGACAAACTGTTAGTTTGTTGGCCAACAAGCCTGGGGCTGGTGAATCGACAAGGTGACGCCTATGCGAATTGGAACCAAACTTGTAGACAAACTGTTAGTTTGTTAGCCAACACCCAGCCAGCAATTCGCTTGGGCTGAACTGTGGCAAGCGTCGGGCAGCTTGGGCTTAGCTTGGGTTTGCCCACTTTGATCAAAACCAATGTATTTTTTACTAGGGCTGAGCTGGGGCATGCCGCAGCTATGCCCACGTGCGGATAACAGTAGCTCAGCCCGACATCTGCCGGCGCATCAAAAACAGGCTTAACTTGGGCGGAGCGCGGGCTGATCAAGCTGGCTGTGTCCTTCGGCTAACTGGAGTAAAGCCGGAGTTTAGCCATACTTGTTCAGCTGTTCGCGCATGCGCAGTTCTGCGCCAATCATGTGCAGCGTTTGTGACAGTCTGCGCGCTGTGCGACGAAACGACACACCGGTGTTGGGGCATTTGGTGGTTGATGTTTGGGCGCGTGTGACAGCGCGAAGAAGGGATATTGCTCACTGCTCTTATCAAGTGGACTGGCATGGAGTTTTACGGTAGGTAAGTGTATTGAATGGTGCGCTTGATCGTATGTAAACGTCATGATTTTGACTGAGTTTGACGCCATCAAACATGAAGCTGAATAGCTGTTCAGCCTGGCGACTTATACCCTCGCTCAGAAAAGCTGCATTCCGTGCCTTTATATCTTTGTGAAATACCAGCTCTTCTGACCCAGGAAAATGAAATACAAAACACAAATATTTATCTACTTATCACCGAGCACGCTCATTCTCTGTCCGCATTTAATATCAAATGAACATTTTATACGGATCAATGAGAAGTGCTTTTACAGTATTAATGCATCAATAAGTTATTTTTCAAGCAAACATGCAATGTAAATTAAACCAATTAATCTCTTTTTCAGGTACGTACCATTAGAGCAAATGGTTCAAAAAAAATGGAGTAGTTATACAAACCAGGACCGGGTGGACGCCGCAGTCGCCCTCGCCAAGTGGTTTAGCGGAAACTGCCTGCTTATAATTAAGTAGGTATACCTACATATACGGAAACTGCGCCGAAAGCTGGCCGACCATCTACTGCAGATGTGTGTGTGTGGAGGAGCCAGACGCCTCTAAAGCTCCCATTCACCAGAGTGAAGTTCCTTATAAACGATTGTTTGCTTATTGCTTTATGTCTTATGAGCGATTACTTGCTGTCCTTACTTTATGCTTTCGGTTGAGTGTTTAACCAAGCATTATGAACGGGGAGTGAGGCTAGCGGGCCTTGTGATTGTTTTATAGTTTTGATGGCGTTTTTTCATGACTCATGCCTTATTACTGCTGCAGTTTGCAGTCCACTGTTTCATGTATTTGTGTTTCATTTGACGTGTCTGTAGTCGTTTGAAATATACATTCAATCAAAGTCAACCACTACTTCCCTTTTGCAATGCTCGAGCCTCGATGACCGGTTAACAGAGCATATGAGTGACCGTAACAATTTTAAATATGCATTGAAACCGCACAACCTGCTGAAAGTGCATTGGCTGCTCCTTGCTACTTGATCCAGTGTGAAGCAAAAGCAAGATGAAGTCAAGTCGAGACTTGAGAAAACAGGAGCCGTCACTCGAGCCGAACCCGAGCAAAGCTACAGCAGTTTGCAATGTATAAACCCCATTCACTTCTATGGCTTAAGTCGGGATAGACAGGGCACACAGAGTGGGCTTGCCGGAGTTCAGCCCGCTCGGGCCCAGAGTAATCTCTTTTATATAAATGGATTCACTGCTCGGGCTTAAATCGGGCTAACGCCAATCGTCGCTCAACTAGGGCTAAACTACGGCTGTCCGGAGCTCGCAGAGCAGGCATACCTCCGGCAGAGCATGGGCTTTAGTCGGCGTTTTTGTGTCATACGCCGACTTTAGCCCAAGCCCTAGCCGACTTTAGCCCGACTAAAAATCTCGGGCAATCCGCACTTGAGCCTGCTTGTGCCCGGAGCAAAATTGCTGGCTGGGCAAGCCTGGGGCTGGTGAATCGACAAGGTGACGCCTATGCGAATTGGAACCAAACTTGTAACAAGGAGCCAACTTGTAGATTTGGTTTACAGTGTACATGCTATAGTCGACCTTGCATCGCTCTATGATATCAATATAAACAATTGTCCCACTTCAACTCTGCAGAAACATACAACTGATGCAGGATACCTCTGCTAGACCACAAAACCATTGGTTGCGACCGGACGGACAGAGAATATGACGCCATAGCCCAGTGACCTAATCTGATAGAAAACCAATGTTTTAGATTAGTTATTTGTCCGAGAGACGATCACAAATGTGTGCCGCACTTCGGTCCGGTCCCAGAGGCGGATCCAGCTCAGAGGTTTGGGGGGGGGGGCAAATCATAACAATTTATCGATTCTTTCCATGCATCGTCCATAGGCGTAATGTTAAAATTATGCCGTTTGGGGGGGGGGGGCAAATGCCCATTTTGCCCCCCCCCCCCCTAGATCCGCCACTGTCCGGTCCAGGTGCGCGGTCTGAAGATATCTGCGAAAAAAAATAGTGGCTGGCTGCAGAATCCTACAGTCCCGACGATAGCTAGAGCACCTTAGATATAATTTCTTTATGCGACATAATGGAGCCGCACCAGCACATGACGAATAAATATAAATATTGTCAAGGTCAGGACCCAGCTGACTACCAGTTGGTCAGGAGTCAAGGTGTTCAGTGGGGAGACGCGTGCATGCGCTGGACCGTGTTCACGAGAGAGCGTTTTTTTTTTTTTTTTTTGCTTTGAGATTTCGCAGAGCCTGATCCGATAGTCATATCAGCGTATGGTAACCAAGCCATCAAGCCATCACAACAATGACTGTGGTATAGTAATCAGTACAAAGAAAGATGAAAAAAGCCAGAGATGCTCGCTGTAATGCTGCGTCATCTGATCTGCTGGTTGTTCGGTGTCCGTCACTCGGAAAACTTATTCGGACAGAGCAGAGAGCTTCCGGCTGGTGTGGCGAGATCCACTGATAGTTGTGATATAGGTCACTTAGCTACACCTTTGTCAGAGAACGCAGGAACGAACCGCAACTCAAAAGTCACTGGTCTTCAAGCAATCTTCAAAGATAATGTGAACTGACGTCGACCAGAAAACCCTCAAAAAATTGTTACCAGTTACCATGTCACATAACATTTGCCTGGCAACAGAAGTGAGGCGATGAGATTACAAAGGATTACGCAACAACAGATTATTGCGATTCCTACCTTTTCGTACGCTTTATATCCCTACTGACATGTGGAACATCGGACGATAATCATCACCATTGTTGTGCTCGTATGGGGAGCTCATAGCTACAGCAGAACAAGGTTGCAGTAACCATTCTTCACCGGTCTAAAACTTCGGAGTAGAACATTCTTCGCCAAAGGGATACACTGTTAAAACTTATGCTCATGCATAGCCAGACATCACATATATGTATTAATCATCACCACCAGCAACCGTACAATCACTAACCATCACCAATACCTTCCCATCCACCCTCACCATCGTGTTCATGGACACCACCCTCACCACCAGCGGCACGTTCAGACGTCACCCTCACCAGCACCAACACGCTCAGAGACTACCCTCACCAGCAGCGGCACGATCAGAGTCCAGATACTACACTTACCAGCACCAACACGTTCAGAGACTACACTCACCAGCAGCGGCACGTTGAGGCTGGTGATGTTGTCGTCCAGCCGTCCTGCCGACATGTCCGGCTCGAAGTGCCACGTCTTCACCTGCATGTAGGTGATGGTGTCGTTGGCGTTCCACGTCATGTTCACCTTCAGGTGCTTCTCACTGCCGACAGCGTTAGTTTGGCGTCAGTTTGGTGGTTCACCAAAAAGGGAAGCGAGCACGGCGGAAAAGGAGTTGGAAGGGGACAGGCTAGGGAGAGAAGACTTGTCATTCAAGGAACATTTTGATAATATCACAAAGGGCGATTGTCACATGAATAGTAACAAAAAATATCCGTTTACTAACAATTCGTTTAGATAACTATGCCAACCTCGATTTACCAGGATTGAACCTCCGCTTCGAATTTGATTGGGGTTATTGACAACAGACAATCATGGACGGATGGGCAAGAACTATTAACCTATCAAGCCTGTAAAAGACGTATAAATGTCATTCGAGAGCGGAGACTGTTAGCTGTCAACAAGTGAGGCGCTATCCACCAATTTATGAAACTGTAGGTTTAAGGCCCACTCAAGAGGCAGCGGGTAGCAGTGCACAACAGCCAAACAATGTTTCAGCGGCTCGGTCAGCCAGCCTCGACAGACTCCACGCTAAGCAGTTTCAAGGTGGAACATCTCGTCAATTGTTGGAATCGCTTCCTCTGGGTCCCGAGATCCGGCTGGCCGACCCTCTGGGCGTCGGAATGGCCTGATCAAGGCTGAGTTGCAGCACTCACAAACGTTTGATAATCTACTGTGACGCTGAACCATTTATAGGCCCTCAGCAGAGACTTAGTGCGCGTATGCATGGCATGAATGACGTCTGCCTTCATGGCACTCCCAGTGGAAGGTTCATATATAGGAACTTACTACAAAGAGCACTGCTGCAAGGACTGTCACTAAAGTCTCGTAATTTCCCGGCTAATCGCAAACGGAGTATGTGAGCGGCCGCGGCGGTGGTGCTGAAACAGGCAAGTAAACAACCGCACCCTGACTAGACCAGACGCATAAAGCTATAAATCATCAGCTTAGCACCGATTTTAGACTACGTAAAAGGCTTCTTGCATAATATGATCGCTTGCTGAATGAGTCAAAACCGGTAAGTCATCACAACCACTACTCTTACAGCACTCCGATGGGTCGCAATTCAGTGCTATGGGGCTGACCATACATAACCGGTCCTCACGGCAGCCGTGCGGTCCAGTTTGAGGCTAACGAGACCCGTTCAGAGGCTACTGATCGGACCTGTGAGCACATGGCACGCGCCGAGAAACCCACTAAACCACTCCCCTCAAAACTTGCTGAGTAAGCCGCGTCGTGACGTAACCCCAAGATGACGTCACCTCATGGTGAATAACCACTGGTCCCTCTGTGTGCGAGGTAGTCGCTTAGCTGGCGGCTCGCCGAAAAGGCTCCAGAACGGGTTAGTCGCCATCGCTGACAGCAACTGCCACCGGGTCGGAGCTCAGGTGAAGAAAGCTAACAGTCGTGACGAAATGCACCGGACAAGATTACCTGACCACACAACTGACGAGCTAACATCCAGACTGAATGACAAATGCGGCTCGGTACCATGAATTGGAATGGGCTGATACCTTGCAATGTGTCGCGAAATATAGACGAGCTACGAGCGATTTGCGCACGCGATTGACGCGAAGAGAGGAGTCGAGGGATAAGGAAAATAAATAGGGAAAAGGAGGCGATAAGGGAGCCAAGAGGATGTGGGAGAATGTTTTGAGCAAGAAGGGGAAAGAGATGAGGAAGATAGGTGAGTGTAAACCATGAGCAAAAGGGTGAAGAAGAATAAGAAGAGTGATGGAAACAGAAGAAGGAAGGCACTGAGGACGAGGACGGTGGAGAAATACGGGACAATCACACTCGGGGGCGAGTGTGATTGTCCTGTGTCTGAACCTTGGGACACAATGTCTCAAGGTTCATTGGATCTTGAGACAAGTGGGATGTGCACTAAGGTGCCACTATCGGTGATAGGGTCAGAGCGCAGTTACGTAACGATCCGACACGTGCAACATTGAAAGGACGCATGACGATCCATCTCAAGGCAACAGTCAAGTACTGAGCGTTTATTCTGTGCCGACTTCTGATTCCGTCTAATCCCCGGCACTTCAGGCAGTTTACACGTGCAGGTGAAAGTTCACGAATTATAACAAAAATAACTAATTCAAGAAACTCACATTATTCAATTGACAGCAATGACCGGGATTCTATACACCAGGTCAACCGTGTAAAAGAGTTCGAAAAAGGCCCAACCACGGAAAACGAGACTCTGGACGGATAAAGAGTGAAGAGCAGTTGCCGACCTACTGACAATATTTGGGTCACAGCCGCAACCACTGAAAGCAGGACCACATCTCCGCTCTACAGTGCAGTCCCACCGCCGCGTCGGTCGTCTAAATCGGACCACACTTCACTCGCGGTGGGCGTTTCTTCAACCCTTCACCGCGCTCGAGCTCCCATGCCTACTCAGTGGATCACCGCCGCCGTTCGGCAATAAAATGCAGGCGGAGCTAGCAAGCGGTGGAGTCCCTCATGGGCACCAAACCGCAGCAATACCGGTTCCGAGTGGTCTGCGACAGATGTCACACCGCAGAGCCACTTCACCGCCGGGCTTGGGGCCACTCAGACGCTCGATTAAACCCACCATGGCCGGTGGAAGTCCCGAAGAGAAGTTGCCAGCCAATCTTGATGCTGTTCAATGTTCACTCGGGCGAGAGGCCCTTCCCCTGTTAGTGAAACAGGAGAAGGGCCTCTTGATCCGAGGTGAAACGTATCCGTGTCGAAAGCTAATGGCCGTGAGATTAGAAACTGCAGCTTCGACTTGAATGCAGCCATCGTTAGGACTTCACCTTTGCAATGAAACCAACAGAAGTCATTAGGTATAGGGGAGATCCGTGTAAGACGCCCAGGGTCGGTAAGAGGCCCCATCGCTTTTTTTACCAAACCAATAATGTTATTTATTTTTTAATGTTCTTGTAAAGCAGAAGCCCTCTTGAAACAACAACTCACGAAACCTGAGGTATCATGTGCGTCGCAGCGACTTTTGGTAAGCCTGTTTCTGTTTTTGCCCCTTTACTTGCTAGATATATGCATCTTTATCACCCTTATATATCTGAAAAAACAATGGCTATCAAATGCAATCTTATCTCATCGAAATTGTCACATGTTAGCTTCAGAATAGACCATGTTCTGGTGCGCTGCAAATGTCTCATAAACCATAAATATTGTGACGTTAAAACACTGCATTTTTTTAAGAGGCCCTCCCTTCGAGGATTATAAAACGCCCCCCGATAAAAAAGGTCCCCGATGCTAAAACGCCTGCACCTGCGGCAGGCGTGGCATTCTTTTTTCAAGGAGTTTGTTTTTGTTTCTTTTTTTCTGTTTCTTTTTCTAGAGGTAATAGGTACAATTTTCGCTGGTCATCAGCGTTTGGTTGTGCTAGTTTTCGCATTGTTCGAGCGCTTTGAAGTGTTATTGGTTTCGATAACACCGTATTTGCTTAGCTTTTCGAAATAAAAGGCCTTGCAGCTGTGTTCGCAAAACGTCTTTTACAAGTCGACTTGCCTTGTTAAACGCCCGAGGGGGGGGGGCGTCTTACCATACCCATAGTGTAAGAGGCCCTTTTGCAACTTTTTCCAAAATGTTAAAGTTTACGGTTTGTGTACCCCCTAGATTCATTTTGAATGCAAATATGTATGGGAAAATGATGCATGCTCACAGCGCATGCACACGTTAGCTCTTAAATATTATCAGTTGTCTAAAAATAGCATCTGAGCTTAAGGGGGGGCCTCCTGCACCACTCTCCCCTATAAAATGGCTAATGTCCTACGAGTAAACGCAAGGAAAAACACTTATACGGACCAGCATAATCCCAACTTGAGCTTCAAGTGGTATTTAGAAATCAGCATACGATATGTTGTGCAATAAGGACATTTGATGAATCGATGACTTATGGTGTTAGTAGATACATGCTTCTTGAGAGATCTGAGTGCTATTCACCAGACTCATAGCAAATTCACCACTTGTTTGAAGCTTTAAAATGTGGGATCACTCTGATTTTAATTAGTGCCCATGCTAATCCTGATATGTTGAAACGCGAGGAGCATAGGATGAGCACGAGATGTTGATCAGTTTTCGCCTCCTACGACGAGCCCAGCGTTTAGAGAAAGGTGGGCATTTTATGCAGCTATTGCTTCGCTTCAGTTAGCAGCTTGCTATTTTTAGATGCGGAGACCGCATTTACCAGATAAGGCCATGTAGTAACGTTACGAGACTCTACAGCTCCTCCAGAGACGGCTGGCCGCAACTGCATCGTAAAGAATCAACCGTAACGCGAATGCACACTGCACCGCGTGAAACCGAGACCAGCGGACCGGGTAGTAATTTCATAATTACATGGGTGGGAGGGGCGGGAGTGCCCTGACCACAGCGTCGCGCGAATAACGGTCGTTTCAGTCGGTACAGGCGGTGGCTAGGCCCTCGAGCAATCAAAGATGTGATTATGACATGTGCCTTCGGGCCACACAACCGGCGCGGCCCGCAGGCAGCGAGCGCTAATGCAATGAGAGAAGTTCGCAATACATGGCAGAGAAAGAACCATCACACCGCTTGGTTGATCTGGGCCTGGAATTATCCATTGCGTCAAATGGTAGATGGGTTCTATAGCCTTGAGTAGACAGAAGGTATTCGTTCGTAGGTACCTATGACTTTTATGAGCTCGGCATTTTGATGTTCGCATGGATGTTTCGAATTCACATCCTAATGCGGTGCATGATATCTTGTATGAAAGTAAAATGCCGATATTAGGTATTTAAAACACGTTAACGAGGAAGACCGTAAGGTAGGGAATACAGAGCTAAAGGACAGTTACTATAACGGTGTCTGTGCATTCCTGTCATGCCAACATTTCAGCACCACAGTATTCATCCATTTTCGAATAAAGACGAATCCATCAGGCATAATCTCATCCTTGACCTAGTCCTAGAGCTATACACTTACGGAAATTCGCCGCCCTAATTTCCAATTCAAATAAGTCTATTCACGATTCGTGCACGTGCAACTTGTGCTGTCTGTATATTGTGTGCATTGTGCAATGTGCACAGTATATCTGTGAATGGAATCAATCTATCCAAGTCAGTGCAGTGAGAGCTGGCTTCCACGAAATAGTGCTAGTCATTGGAATCCTTCTAATATCCGTTGCGCAGAGTGACCGAGTTTGGTATGTAGTCCACCTCTCGACACAGTGCATGCCGCTGCCCGGTGGCGGTCTGGTGAACAAAGCGTCCTGTCCTGGAGCCACGGGCGTCCGTATACGACAGGCGGCTGCACTGCAAGATGACTGGTGCGTCTGGGAGCCCGGACCAGGCACGATGAGAAAGGACCGCCGCAATCTGCCGAGCCGGAGGGCGGCTCTGGACGACCGTCCACGTGTCCCCCCCCCCCCCCCAATGCAGGCGAATGTGACTATTATGTTGATGACTCTTGAATTTAGTAGGCCGACCGAGAGAGAAGTGTATCACTGATATTTTGTAATAGAAATTAGGCTGTAAACTCCGTGCGGGCTAAAATTACCACGATGACGCCTTACTAGTGAATCAGTACTGGGTGACCTACATATGCTCCAAGTTGTTAAAAGCTAAAGAGAAAAATCACCATCGCCGTATACGCGGCATATGGGAGCCAGTGTGTACAGTCTGTCTTAAAAGTACCGCGCAAAGTGACGGTGGATCCATCAAGCCTGACCGATGAAGGACTGCCAAATTTGAGTCACCGAAGCAATGGACATCCTCGTCCATTCCCCAGCTCCATTGGTTCGGTGACTTTCAAATTATAGCAGGCCCTTCCTCGGTCAGGCTTGCTGGATCCACCGTCACTTTGCGCGGTACTTTTAAGACAGACTGTACATTGTAGGTAAGTATATATTGCGCACCGAATAACTGCTAAGGCCGCGTAATTTGGCATCAAATATGAGCAACAGATCCCCAAAAATATCGTTCATTTAAGGATCACAGAGCACATACTGCAATGAATGAATGAATGAAAATACCTCTCAAAGCTCTACAGGACCATCATTGAAGTGCCGCTCAGAAAACGCAGTCATGACGCGTTAGGTGAGCACGATGTTGACCTTCGGCTCTATCCACGTGAAGGCCGAGCCTGTCATTGCCAATCGCTCAGCTGCAATCTGAGGTCACTGACTGCCGATGTATAGACACGTGCCGAACAGATAATTCGGCCCGTCCGGCCCGGCCAGGCGCCGCAGACGGTAACTAAGAGTCGACTGACCACTTTACCGCGGCGGATTGAAGGCGCAAGATCGTAACACACTTAAGATCGAAACCCACCTGATACAGAGCATGCATGCCATACGTGATTACTTTGGTGCATTGTCTGAAAGTAGCGAACTTTTGAGTCTTTACCTCGTACGTCCCCCGCGACTGTCAGCAGGGCAGACAGCGCGGCGGTCCCCACACTCACGTGTAGACATAAGGGCCGAGCTGCTGCAGGATGGGCTTGGCGTGATTCGTGACCACATCTTCCGCGTTCGTCACGTTCCAGAAGTAGAACTTGATGAAGATGGGCACCGGCATCGTGTGCCAGAACCCATAGCCCTCCGAGTCTGGAGTCAGTTCCAGCTTCTGTCAAGACAAAAGGCGCAACGGGATCTCAGTATTTGCAATATTCAATAGGATCGGGTTGTTCGCTTAAATCTATCCCACATAAAGGCACAGATACATTTGCTGCATTGACACAAATAGTCTTCTGATGACCTAAGAGAAAGCAGAACATCTGTCATCTTGAAAAGACACAGATGTGGTTTTGCACAATTATCGAAGCATGTTCGACAGTAGTGAAGATAGGAGTGATTGTATATCAACATATATTTAGGTAAGGATGATAAGACAACATGATCAATCATTATCATTTGTTGCCTAAATTGAACAGTGCAGCTATGCAAAATGCATATTGCTGCTGGTGGCAATCCCATAATTGATGGACACTGTAATATTCACGTCAGACTAATTAAGCTGTTATACCACGGAGAAGTACATGAGTAAAATATCGTCGGCATCTGATGTCCCCAGTCACACAATCGGACAATAGCACGGATGATGTCAGGTAAAAGCAGAAAAAGACAGCGCCATTTCGAGGAACAATATCTGACAAAAACCTCTGAAAGTAGGCCCACGGGACGTAAAAACTTCCCCAGCAGTAAGTGTCGCAGTTATCGAAATCGATGTCATTCGCGGGAATCAAAGAAGGTGCCAGAGCGCACATCTCGAAGTAATGTCTTCTAAGAAGGCTTCCATGAGAGTATGTCTTAACAACAAAAGAGAAACAGTTCGATTCTCAAAATTCAGAAATCTGACCGTCAGCAAAGCTAAAAGAGATTATGTCTTCCATAATAAAAAATCCTCCCAATGCAACTCTAACGATACAAAAAAAAGACAAGCCCACGTTGACCTCAGGTGACCTTATGTAGATGACTTTGGATTAGCAAGACACATGGCTGATCAATGTGTAATGCCATGTATAGTCTGTCTTAACCCGGCAGTTGCTGGGGTATTTCGCCACCCACCGTTTGCTGGGGGGGGGGGGCGTTAAACGCCCCCAGCCGATAACTCGAGAACCAATAGGCGCAGCGAAACGCACGAGGCGGCAAACGAAAGAACGCGACGAGACGCTTCAGATGAGTACTTCAAAGTTGAATTTTGAGGTCACAGGTCGGGTCAAGGTCAGGTCAAACACCTGAAATCGGGCTTTCAGTAGCATGGACTTCAGGACTTCGCAATGGGCGCCTCTCGTCAGAAACTCTGTCAAAACGGTGCACAATCCATCATATAAGGCCTACAAGAGTGTCAGCTCCATGTAGGGGTCAGTCAAGCATAGGTCAGGGTCAAGGTCAGGTCAACCGGGTAGGCACATATCCCCGAAAATCAAAACTGATATTTGCAGCCTATGACACATGTTTTATGGGTAATTTGGGCCGTAGAACACGATGGTGATATTCACTTTATCATATGTGTACGTGTTTGGCTCAAAAAGTTCAATTTAAGAAATTCATGTATCATGGTCGTGAAGAAGTCACGAGAAATTGTCAAGATTCAGTTCAAGATTTTGGAAAATGCGGAACGATAATCAATAATCGAAGATAGCCATTTGATTGTTCATGGTATTGGCATTCTAATGGCGTTTACGGCATGTCTGTATGTCTATTCTGTGATTTTATATGATTTTTTGAACTTATGTCGTTTTTGGTCGAAAACTCAGAAATCATGACGTCACTAAAACCTCGATATCTCAAAAATTTTCCGACCGATTTTTTTGAAACTTTGTCACAATATACTTCAATCAATTCCCTACAGGTACCCAAAATTTGGCGCGCCTGCGGCGCGCCGTTTTTATGCTATGGCCCGGCGAAAAAAGTGGGGGCGTTTAACGCCCCCCCCCCCCCAGCAACTCGCGGGTTAAAAGTACCGCGCAAAGTGACGGTGGATCCATCAAGCCTGACCGAGGAAGGGCCTGCTATAATTTGAAAGTCACCGAACCAATTGACCTGTGGAATGGACGAGGATGTCAATTACTTCGGTGATTCAAATTTAGCAGGCCCTTCTTCGGTCAGGCTTGATGGATCCACCGTTACTTTGTGCGGTACTTTTAAGACAGACTGTACAGTCTGTCTTAAAAGTACCGCGCAAAGTGACGGTGGATCCATCAAGCCTGACCGAAGAAGGACCTGCTGAATTTGAAAGTCACCGAAACAATTGACCTAGGGAATGGACGAGGATGATAATTGCTTCAGTGACTCAAATTCAGCAGACCCTTCCTCGGTCAGGCTTGATGGATCCACCGTCACTTTGCGCGGTACTTTTAAGACAGACTGTACATACCTATAATGTGTTCTCAGGCGCTCATCACACCTTTGCCATCTATTTTGCATTCATTTGCCATAAGCCTCAGGTCAGAAGAGCTAAGGTGGAAGAATTACAGCGGCTAATTTGAATCGGTAAAAAACTTCTTTAAATTGACATCTACCTTGCGTGGCCTTGACAATGGAGAGCAGGCTTTCAAGGCTTCCAGCTTTTCAATAAACGCCAATTATCACGATCGCTATGCCAAAATACGTTATAGGGCAGGAAATCTTACTTATGAATACCACAAAGGCTCTCAGAGTTTATCATAGCATTGCCTGACATGACGTTTGATCTTGGTGACATGACCTGGGAGACACCTTATTTCTTGGGTGACCATTATTCAAAATGTAAATGCGATGCTATGTTAGACTCCGACTCGATTCATCTACGCCTTCTGGAAATGATCGTGAAAAGCTAGGAGCGTTGCATAAATCGCCTACCCTCGCTGTGTCGGTGGGTCCACACATGAGGTCGTTCGCTACTCCTTTCGATCTCTCACATGGTCTTGTCCTTCAAAAGGATCCACCATAATTTGGATATTCGTCCAGGTATCCCTATCTTTGTCTTGATTTGCTTTGTACCGACTCCTAACTAACCATTCCCACAGTCCACGGAATGGAGTTTTGCACATGAATCACCCGACCTTTCAACATTTTAGCTAATGGTTGGTCGGTGATCGGTAGTAAATCCTCTCATAACTGCATCCGGGGCCGGATGCATTTCATAACAGTGACTGAGCAGGGCAAGTTGGTCCCATTATTTGTGTAAGATGCATGCGCATAATTTTCTATTGTTTCAGAAGCATTGATGCAAACTGCAAACTATGGAGTCAGCCTCTCAACGACCTTTCAGGACATTTTGAGCAATATTATATAGAAATAAGAGGCATTGGCTGTGGCGAGTCACGCCTACTGGATTGACCAGCCTGCTGACCTGACACACTACTATGCTAATCGGGTGTCCATATCCAGCTGCTGACAGCTGTTGAGAGGCCGCCTGTCCGCCTGTGCTCACTGACAACTGTGCAGTTGTCTGTACAGGCTCTCGGAGGCCGCCCACTACATCTCTAATCCGGCTGTCAACGCTCCAATCTGGCCGTATCCTGGCACGGAGTACCAGCGCCGGTCGTGCGGTCAGCGGGCGCGGGCCGACCTCGCTCTCCCGACACACTGACCTTGTCCAGGATGGCGTCGAACAGCTGCTGGTTCAGCAGGACGGCCAGCACGCCAATCACCAGGGTGACGGCGCCGGCGGCCAGAAGACCGCGGTGACACGCTGAGGAGGAGGCCATCGCTGCGGGCAGTCGTCGGTTACTGACCGCCAGCCGGGCCGCCGGAGCTGCTATGGGCGTCGGACCGACGGCAGCCCCCTGGCGCACCGGGACGCCGTTGGCGACCTCTGGTGGCCGCAGCCTGAAACATCCGACACTCATCAGGGTGGCAGAGCAGGATAGAGATAACACACTTAGCAACGTGTTTACTGAACACTAATTGAAACACGAGCAAATCATTATAACTGGACAGTATCGGTTATATGAAAATCATGCCTCAATCAATCCCGTCTTGACGCACTTTAAACGGCCTATTTTAGCCATTTAAATGATGATTAGTGAATAGTGGACAATACCGACACTCGACAGGTATACCAAAATCATGTCTTATTCAATCCCGTCTTGACGGACTTAAAACGGCTAATTTTTTGGTGATCTGATTGCATATCAGGTGCATTTTTAAACCCTAAACAGCAGCACAGAATAAAATGTAGGCATAGGGCAGCAAACAAAAAGATTTGTTTAATTTGCTTGTTAGTTACTTTCTGTTTAACATTTTATAAATCGATGTTGAATGGGGCTAATTTGATTCGGCGCAAAATCTGTTTACCTTTGACAACAAAAACACTGTTCTGCGGGTATTTTCATATCGCGGGATTCGTATCGCGGGCAGACTCGAGAGAATGTTGAATGATCAGGTGACCGATTTAAGTGATAACTAGCCATCTATTGATGGGGAGGAGCATAGTTATTAGTTACCCGTGTGTTGCACCAGTTGCATATTGAAACAGCTGAGGCACTGCACGGTTTAACTTAGATCGAGGAAGTCGTTTGGATTTAATGGGCGGCACGGTGCCGGGGTGACCGTGACCGACTGTCACGGGCAGAGATAGCTCACGCACTGCCAACTGGCAGCTGCGTGATCAGCACGACCACCTACAGGTATACTGGAGCTGCTACTGCAGCCTACAGGCCGAGCCCAACACTAGCTGCTAGCTGGTGGCAGGACTATAGGCTGGACGCCATTGGTGATGCCCAACAGCCACTGTCAAAAGCTGATGTCATGTTCATAAGCCTGGTTGGCGCATTCACTTTCAGGATGTTGAATAATTTCCTAGAACTCCTAACCATAACTGTTTGAGAGCTAATCAATCATTCCACGCACAGCAATAGCAACGAGCCTAAATTTTATTTTGAGATGATCGCATATTATTTAGTGGTAAGTGGCACAGGCTCATGTCTCAAATAAAACAGCTATGATACTTTGCTATCGTTTCGCTGTTTACAAAGCAGAACTTCGCAAAACGTAGAAAGATACAAGCTTATGTTTATCGGCCAAGCTTTCAGAAATAACCGCCCTCTATTCTGTCGGCACCGATCAAAGACAATGTGCACATAATCCAGCAAACCGCGGCTCCCTCTTTACCAGAGAACCAGCACGCATCCAACTGCGAGATCAAATAGGACGCCGACTCCCTCAGTCACATGACCTGCGAACTTCACCGGCACATGTATTGTGTAGTGGCCAAGCGACATTGTGACCCGAAACAGAGCAGCGGGACATCAGAAGTACCGATACCGATCGACAAGCTTTTTCATGTGCTGGTCGACGATTAATCAAATTGCGTGGTTGAAAAAAATACCAGACGTTTTACAACAAACTCCAGCTGGGTGACAACTAAAATTGTGTGTGCAATTTAGTGTAGTTTCATGATGTAATACTTAGCCATGCTGAACATTACTATGCCCTATTATACGAAAATCGGAAAGCCAGTTTCTGATAGACATTGTGAGATGAACATCATAAGGGCATTTATTGATGATGTCATGCATTTTGAAATGACTGTTAGCGTGTTTAGTGCAACCAATTGGGCTGCGCACAGCCCGAGCGAGTAGACCACTATATCGTACGGGCCACCTTAACCCTCGCCCTGGCATGGCAGGGCATTTTTCATAACACGGCCTGGCAGGGGGTCGATGCGACCCCCCCCCCCCCTCGCGATTGGCTCCTATGGCACCTAGAAACACCAAATTTGGTAGGTAGGTGGGCCCCCTGGAGTTCTCGCCCCTATGCAAATTTTGTTGCTCTATGTCAATATTTAGGGGGGTTTTGGGGGGTATAAACGTATTTTTTTTTCTAAAAACAGGTCAGAAGTTTTTCGCCAATAACTTTTGATCTGATTAAGATAGAGCAAAAAGAAAAGCACCAGTGAGCTCAGCACGTCAAGGCGCGTCGAATGATATACTATTTAGCTTGCTTAAGTGTACTTAAAGTTTTTCTTAATTTTTAAGTAAACTTAAATTAATTAATTAAGTTCAAGTTAACCAAATTGCATCATGTCGCATACCATTCGATTCAGCTGATCACCAGGAACACAATGACACCATTTTTTAAGCTCTAGCGTCATTATGTGCCAAGTTATTGGCAAAAACGTCATTTGACCTCAGTTGACCTCATTTGACCTGACCCATTGATAAGTACACCAAACAAAGAAGCACCAAGTGACCTGCTGTTAATTACTGTGGTTTCAAAGCACAAAAGTGATAGGACAAAGTGGAACAAAGCGGATATCTCCAGTATTTTCCGAATTTAGTATTTTCCCATAGGCTTAACATTACGACGTAATGACCTCGAAAAACCCGAACTATATGTTTATACAACTCGGTGAACTTAGCACATCCTGAAAGTTTGAAGGAAATCAGTCCAAAACTGTGAGTTGGACAGGTGCAAAAAGAAAATTGAAATTTGACCGGGACCTTGTACCGGTTTTTCTGACCTGGTGACCTGACCTAAGGTCACCTGGACCTGAAATTTTTAGGTCATATGTAAAAAGGTTGCCCCATAGGCTGTGCCAAATTTGGCGGCGTTGCGCGCCGCCGTTTTTACGCTATCTTCGAAAAACCTTAGGGGGGTCGCATCGCCCCCCCTGCCAGGGCGAGGGTTAAGACCAACTCCATGGCAGCAGCAAGCGGGTTCGTGAGAGACTCGTTCATGGTGTTAACTAAAGCGACACTCCGATGACGGAATGATTGGAAACGATGATGTTCGGCATACCAGATCTTTGATTCAAGTCCGATCTTTTGCCAGCAACTGCATTTTTAGGTCAGGTCAGGTCAGGTTATACGAGCCTTTGTAAACTGATATTTGAGCAAGGAAGTGTATGAAGGAGTTAACGGTAGCGGAAAACGCCTACCTTCTAAGACTAGTCGGCGGGACGCCGAGTAACTTTGGACCTGACCTGAACTGATCCGACTAGCCTAACATGTATACCTACAAATATCATTCTGAAACAAAGCTAAGGCAATATTCGACACCAGGAACCAAAAGAAAACAGCATCATCTCTACACGGTCTATATCAGGCCTTAATATTATTGACCCTTGGGTTACTGACTTGATCCCAGGTCAACTAATATGCAGAAAAAGACTTAAAAATTGGATACCTTTCTGCTTTGTCTCGTAACGAGCAATGAAGTCATTTTTCCGCGAAGCTCTAGCTAAAATAAGGGCCGAATGGCTAAGACTAAGAGAACAAACCAATCTATATCTTAGACGCTGTTAGAGCTTAGGAGAATACTGACGAGGGTTAATCTAACTTCATTTCACATTTTACGGGCGCTTTCTTGCCTAAACGCATGAACATGTCACGCAGCATTCTATTCATAGAAATACACCTTGAGCATTGCGGCGTCCCTGATCTCCTGATCTCCCGCGCTATAAAAAAAAATCCGTTTTAATATGGTAATGACTGGCGTTCTACACGCAGTGGTCGGCAGACGCCGGCGGCTATAACTGTTCTAGCGGACCATGAGTAGCCTCCCAGTCCCACCCCTCATGGCTCACGGCCGACGCCCCCGGCAGAACGCTCACCGCCGGAAGGGAGCCTTTGACCGCTCCGGTCACCACACGTGGCAGTGTGCGCCGCTGCAGCAGTCAGCAAATCCGGCGAGCAAGGCTGGTCTACTGCCCCGGCCCCGACCACACCCCCTCCATAAAGGTGTCAGTTTCTCTGAGGGAATGTGCATCATGTCTGCAGTCTCCGATCTTATGTAATGTGACAGTCATGTGTCCTTGGACGCTAAACCACCTACATTAGCGGCGGGTACGGATGGAAGGGTTAATTTAATAGCATTGCATTCAATACAGCTCAATACCTAATAGCCGTTTTCACGACGGACTATCCGGCGAATGCACCTAATTTGACCAAATCTGCACCTAATCTCTTTTACAGCAAATATCTTCATTTAATGAATATATTTCAGTGTTTTAATCAATGAGGCTCTCTGATAATATGACAAAGCAGGCATATAAGCAATTAGTGCAACCCTAGCTGATAGCTACTATTCAAGAGAAACACTGAACCTAATTTGACCAAATCTGCACCCAATCTGCACCAGATGTGCACCAAATGTGTACCAGATGGCCGTCGTGAAAACGGCTATTATAACTTATTTAATCAAGTGAATTGTAGAGCATGAACCTCAAATGACCGAAGTCCTAAGTCAACATGCATAGAATGTCTCACTGTAATTTGAAAAGAAAACAATGAACCCATTGTGCCCTGAGCACTAGGCTTGCCGGGCAGCAAAGGACGCGGACATCCGTCCATTTCAATGGTAACGTCGAATTTGTATTGTGTTTCACTTGTGCCCTGCTGTTCTCTCGGAGACAAACAGCATTGACATCAATTATGTCCTGATGTGTGGTGAATGCTTCAAGTTCAAGCAATGGAAAAGCAATGCGCAGTGTGGGAAAGTCAGTGCCGCATAACAGCACAGTGGCCCGGTCAAAATAGATCATTTAAACAATGGCGAAGTCTGCGGAAGGAAGTTGCAATGCCGAAACGGATATCGCTTTCTATAGCTTGTCATGCTGTTTGGTCCATAAAAACAAAGATAGGTGCTGGGCTTTCATTATTGCATTCTTTTCATTTTTAGAGGGTACTTTGCATGGAATTTTGCACGTAGCATCCAACCGCGTAAACGCAACAACAAATAGTTTGCGTCCCATTTATTTTATCTAAAGTTATACTTACGGTATGCAAACATCTTCGTCCTAGATGTGGACATTAAATTCATCATAGCCATTCAATGCTAAATGTGCAAAATTAAACCAACAGCTATTCTGCAACCTAATGGAAAAGTGACGGTGGCTGTCCGAAGGTCATGGCTCGGCGACTTTTGGAGCTGGTCGCTCGGGCGCCGGCCGGTCTCGCCGCCTTGAGCAAGCTGAGCACACACAGGTGACGTGTGACGAGCGGTCGTCGCTCGGTTTGGCCATCGGTGACGGCGGCAAACATCCGTCTCCGCGGCAACCAAAACTGTGCGCAGCCGAGACTGGGACTGGAACTGGGACAGGTACTGGAGGAGACTGGGACAGAGACTGGGACAGGGACTGGGACAGATACTGGGACTGGGACTGGGACTGGGACTGGGACTGGGACAGGGACTGGGACAGAGACTGGGACAGGGACTGGGACTGCGACAGGAACTGGGACTGGGACAGGCACTGGGACAGGGACTGGGACATGGACTGGGACTGGGACTGGGACTGGGACTGGGACTGGGACAGGGACTGGGACAGAGACTGGGACAGGGACTGGGACTGCGACAGGAACTGGGACTGGGACAGGGACTGGGACAGGGACTGGGACATGGACTGGGACAGGGACAGGGACAGGGACAGGGTCATGGGCTGGGACTGGGACTGGGACTGGGACAGCGACTGGGACAGGGACTGGGACAGGGACTGGGACAGGGACTGGGACAGGGACTGGGACAGGGAGTGAGACAGGGACAATGGGATAGGGACACTGGGATATAGAGTGGGACAGAGAAACTGGGACAGGCAGTGTAAGTTTCACCTTACGTTTCGAATTGAGCAGGTTTAATCAATTCAAATGTGAATTTCATTATGTAGTTCAAGAATGGGATATTTAAGTTTTACCCAACATAATATGTTACCAAACTTGATGTAGTGTGTCAACGTTTCAGCCAGGAGCAGCCAGTTCCCTTATGAAAAAATGACAATTGGCTTTAGCAGTCGATACAAGTCATAAAATGACAGTGATCCGCAAATCACTGCTTCGACGGACAATGACATGAGTCAACTGTTTTTATCAGTCGTTCATGGTTGCGGATGGATAAATGTCCATCTCCATTAGCTGCTTGGTTTCGGTTGAGTTTTTGTGTAATAATTACCTAAAAGGTACCTAACCGAGCCAACACCAATCACTCTACTCTACTCTTATTGTCCAGAAGCGTTTCTCCCGACCCTCAGATTTTGCGTTGTTGAACTACCCATGAGTTTCTCCAGTACTGCACTTGTTATCGTGCATATTTATGGGGACATGGTTCCACCCGAGATGCGACAGCAACAGAACCTTTTGAAAGACACTAACTAGCCATGGGTACGTTATTGCACTGAACAAGACATCTATCACTCCAACATAGAAACTGTAATACAATGCAAAGGAACCGCGAGCATGGTGGCATCTGCATTTTAAAGGATGAAAGTATGATAAAAGTGTAATGTATTTCGGCGTGCACGCTGTCAACCCATGCGCACGGTGCATAAATTTGAACTTGAATCGTAAAAATCACTTTCTCGAAGCTTGACAATCGACAAGGACGTCGCTTTCTACTTTTCAGTTTATATGGCAACAAATACAACGTCAATGCTCACCATTTCACAGCAGCGTCGTCCTTTCCGACTGTCATGGCTGGCTGTGGGGGGGGGGGGGTTCAGTCGCTCCAGCGACTCCGGGAGCAGTCGCGACACCGAGCGGTCCTTGGCGCCGCCGCCGACACACTGACGGTCGTCGCGAGCGTGCAGCGCTCTGCCGCCGCGCCGCCGCCGCCGCCGGCGGCCCCCTGCCCAGAAGCCGCACACAACTCCGAGAGATCGGCCGCCAGCCAATCCAGTTAGTCGGCGCGCGTGCTGGCGGCGCCTCCTCCTCGTGAGAGAGCTTCCTCCAATGCGCGCGACCGCAGGGCGTCGCAGACGCACCGCAGGGCACCGCGAACGGACCGCACGGCACTGCGAGCGCACCATACGGCACTGAAAACAATTTTACCCGAAGCTGGCGAATTAAGCGTTGCTCTGCGGGTGGTATATGGGGCATTCCACGTCAAATCGAACAAAAATCGGCTGTTTTGCACCATACCATCAGCGATTTCATTATAAATTTGTGAGCGAGTTCCTGTGTGGCCCCGGACATTACATTGATGTTTTTTGCACATTCTGACCACAGGTCTTCTAAATATAGGGCATCAAATTTGTACAAAATGTTGCATCTTTATATTTTTGAACGACCATAACATTGGTTGTACTTGTTTGATTTGAATGAAATAAACCTTACTGTTTAGGTAATTTCTTAAGCATTTGTTTAGAATTGGACCTACTTAAATATATGACCTTGAAATTTGCTTAAAGGGACCCTCCCACCTTCAAAAAAGTTTATGAATTGGCATGAAAGTGATGTCGCTCGGTTCAGAAAGAGCGAAAACGAATATCTAAAAAATTTCACCGAAAAATATTCACCGGTTTTCAAGATATTAGACTTTTACTTTTGTTTACTTTTTTGGGATCTGCGCTGTTTCTAGCGACTTTATTTTAGAAGTGCGGCGTTTGCGGCAGATGTTGCGCGCAAATAGCATATACCACCGCGTGCTACAAAACGTTTTAGTCAAACATTTCAAAATCGTTAGATATTTGCGCTGACGTCACACATTCAGAGGGGTATTCCTAAGCATTAGCCCCTCTGAATCAAAATGCTGCAATTTTGAAATTCAATATTTCTGATTTAAGGCATTTCTCGATGTTGTGAGTGCCGAAACCGGTAATTGTGAGCCAGGGACCCCATTTTGGCTATCTCAACTCAAATCTTATGTTAAGGTGGGAGGGTCCCTTTAACTCTGTTTTTAAGCACAAATATTGAAATAGCAAAAAACACGTCACCTTCGATTTGGCTCATTTTCATATATTTTATTGCCTACCATATTCTTAACAACCTGTGAAAAAATTAGAGTGGGCCATTCAAAAGTTTTGAAGAAAATTGCACACATGCAAACGTATGTTAGCACGCGCAGTGGAGGGGGAAGAACGAATTTCGCCCACCCCTCCTGTTTTTCGCCAATATCTCATAAGATTAGTGCAAAATTAATTATGGCTACCTGTCAAGAATTGAATTGGACATCTCATCGTGCAAGCAATAAGAAAATCGGTTCACAACTGTTCTAGTAATAGCGGTGTAAAGTGAACATCCTGTCGCCGCAGCAACGCGGCGACTCGGCAGCCGGCGCCGACCGCTACGCGCCGCCTGAATTGTAGACTGTGCCGGGACGGAACGGAACGGTTCCGTCTTTACATCGCGCTCCCTACCGCTGATTACGTTTGATTCGCGTCAAATTTTGTGAGGAGACTAAGAAATGCACAGGCAATCTTATGGTGAAAGAATTTTGAAAATCGGATGGTAAACAATTGAAATATGAACGTGTAAACACAAAATTGTGATTGCTGCGTTTCCCGCATCGGCCGAGCCCGCCTCAGCCGGCGACATGTTACTCTTAGCAGGCCTCTAACTGCCATATTTATTATTGGATTAACTAGAAATTCCCCATACATACTAAAAGATGTATGTTCTTTCGTATAGTAAAGATCAAAAGAAGTGAAAATATCGTTGCGTGATATTGTTTTCGTTGAATTTACTTCATGATGCATTTCCACACTGCTCAAAATTCACCGCAAAATACCGTTTGCCTGAGACACTTTTACTATGGAACGTGAATGCTTGACTACGATCACTAAGCAGCAATCATTCATTTCAGAAAGTGTACACAAGCAAGCATGTCTTGACTCTGTCTTTCAAGGTCACGCGCGGTTGCGTGATGTTGATGCATGAAAACGGCGTTTGCCGCGAAAGTTATGAATGGCCCACTCCAATTTTTTCACAGATGGTTAGGAACATTGTGACGGACATAATATGTACAAATTACCCAAATCGAAGGTGACGTGTTTTTTGCTATTTAAATTTTTTGTTTTAATTCAAGGTCAAATGCATTTCAAGGTCACTTCAATTTAATTTTATAATTAAAAATTAAAACCTTATCAATCGCCTATATAAGACCCTGTTAATATCATTTTGATACCAGAAATGGAACCAGAGTAATAGCCATTTAAAAAATTGATGGGTGGCATTTTTTCGCTATATTCGATGACCTATATCTCAGCGATACGTTATCAAATTTCGAAAATATTATACGTAACTCAGTTTTGAACCATGCCCAGTCTGCCTACAAATTTTCAGAAAAATCGAAGGGGATGACGGATTTCGGTGTTTGATTTGACGTGGAATGCCCCATAAGTGTACCTATTAACTCGCCATGTCCAGATTCTAGCTAGAGGGTAAGCAGACTTGTCTGCCTTATTACTCGTAAGTAAATATGCACCGTACCCACAGTCTGCAGTAAGGTAGCTACTCAGCACCGGATATTGTCCCCGCGTGTGTCGAGTCATTGGCATAGCCCTCACTGAAAGAGTTGGAACTACTCGAGATATCCAAGGCCCTATATACCAGGTAGGGTCGTCCGGCGATTCTACCTTTCCGTGACGTCAGCTCGTGACGTCATTTGGAGTCAAGTCTCGAAGCCCCGTTCAATCCCCATGTAAATGAGCGATTTTCGAAGCACTGTAGAATGAAGTCTGCACAAGATATATCAAACTTAAGTATCTTACCTAAAAGAGCAGACAATTTTCTGCAAGTTATCTATTACGTGTTTTTCGCTAAATCTTTTGCTTTTTTCACAAAAGCGTAAAATGTCCCCCCATGTCTCCGCAGCCTCCCTGCCGCCGGCCGCCGCGCGGTCGCGGTAGTGTAGTGGTTAGCGTGCCCGCGCAGTATTCCAAAGGTCCCGAGTTCGAATCTATGCGGTGCGGAACTTTAATTGCAATTCCAAGCTGAATATACGCACATCCATAATAAATTATTATTCGTATAGCTAAACTGTCACCAAGCTATCCATATAAATTGACTTCACCCAAAATATCGGCAAGATTCTATTAAAATAAAAATTCAAATATGGCGGCTTGGACTGCCGCGTGCGTTAGGCTCCGCCCATAGCTCCGCCCACATGCGTGACGTCATTCGTGTTAGTGGACACGCAGAGAGATAGGGGACGACATGGGCCTGGAGATATCGTAAACGCGTATCCGTGGATGGCGAACCTTTACATAACCTGCCCTGAAGGAGTTGATCTACTGGCACAACTAGATGGCGTTGTCTCATACAGTTTTGAATTACAGCAATTTTTTAACTTTTTTTGCACCAATGATATATTGGTACATTGTTTGGCGCGGTTTCAAGTGGGGGCGAAAGTACAATTGTTAGGGTGCATCTTTAACCCGCGCCCCACTGGGGTCTGTGTATAACACGCCCTACTGGGGGGGGGGGGTTATTCATAGCCCCCCTCCTAACTCCGAAACTACTGGGCCGATCGTCAAAATTCAAACGGCGTCTGATAGCCCCGGAAAAACTGTCGAGCGAAACCTAATTTCATTGACCTCCAGGTCACCGATGACGTCACAGGTCAGGTCAAAGTAAAAATTATTAGCATTTTGGCTCGTTCACATTTTGGGCTCTGGCCACCGTCTTACAAGTCAGATCAGGCTCATTTTTGGTTTCCACACTCGTGAACAGATGCTCTAGATCCCTTGAGGGTACCAAACTTGTACTTTGATTTTCAGGTCAGGGTCAGGTCATCACAGGTCACGAAAATATTATATCATGCGTGGGTCACGTGACACATGTTTTATGGTCCATTTAGGCCACAGAGTTCGAATTTGATGTCGTATGTGTTATTCGAGGTCATTTTGAGTCGAATTTAGCTTAGGTCAGGTCACCTTCAGGTAAAAAAAGGTCAAATTTTGAAGTTAGAATTTTTCAACAAAAAAGGTGTCTATTGGATGCAGTTTGAGCTCAGGAACACGATGGTGCCATTTATATTGGTGTACGATGTCAAATACGTACTGAAAAATTGATTTGAAAAATTATTAATTGTGAATTTTTTTGCAATAATGCGTATAACTTGGCCATTTTTGAAGATATTTAGCTGAAACTTGCTAGAGTTCGTCAAAATCATGCGTTCTGTCACATATATTCCGGTTTTTTTCGAAAAGTCAAAAACTTTTTGAAAAAAATATAAAAATATAAATTTTGAATATTATTATATAAAATTTTCGACATTTTCAAAATTTTGAAAATCCGAGATAGCAGTTTGATAGCGCGGTCAATTCTGAGTCCTTTCATGCAAAGAAATTGGATCTAGCTTAAAAACTGAGCTCTTGGGAGCGATTGCCGTGGTTCAATGTTTTGCGTCGAAATCGGACGAACATGACGTCATTCTGACGTCATTTCCGGCCGATCTATGGTAGCTACGAAGTTCAAATTTTGACAAAAGGTGTCAAATTGATGCAGCCGAAGGTACTGAAAGTTTGGCGTCGATCCGTCGAGCGGTTTGGAAGTTATTGCAGAAAAACGGGAGGGGGGCTATAAATAGCCCCCCCCCCATTGGGGCGCGGGTTAAAACCTCTGCAATATTCATCACGAGACGATTGGCAACGCCTTTTCTTCCGAAACTACCAATTGAAACCATTTTGATTCTTATATAGGTCACGAAAGCAGTCGCGAGACATCTTCTTGATCTCGGGCGGTCTGCATGACTACCGGTGACTGGGTCATGTCGAATTTTCTATGGGAATTCGATTTGACCGTTCCCACCGACGTGAAACTTTCTCACCAATGTTTTCTAGGTGTGAGATTGTCATAATATAGATAATTTCCCTCAAATATGGTCAAGCGTGGGAGTTTTTCTGGCCCTCGTGATTTGGTCGGCGAAGGGTAGGCGTGGAGGGTAACCCCTTTTAGTCATACCTGCTCTGAGCGGATATAACCGCTGAGGCAGATACGGCTACACTGCAATGGGACCTTACTGTACTCCTGGGAGGGTGGTTAAAAATG